GTGAGAGGGCACAGCCTGTGCCACAGAGCCCTCAGTGTGAGAGGGCACAGCCTGTGCCACAGAGCCCTCAGTGTGAGAGGGCACAGCCTGTGCCACAGAGCCCTCAGTGTGAGAGGGCACAGCCTGTGCCACAGAGCCCTCAGTGTGAGAGGGCACAGCTTGTGCCACAGAGCACTCAGTGTGAGAGGGCACAGCCTGTGCCACAGAGCCCTCAGTGTGAGAGGGCACAGCCTGTGCCATAGAGCCCTCAGTGTGAGAGGGCACAGCCTGTGCCACAGAGCCCTCAGTGGGAGAGGGCACAGTCATGTGCCACAGAGCCCTCAGTGTGAGAGGGCACAGCCTGTGCCACAGATCCCTCAGTGTGAGAGGGCACAGCCTGTGTCACAGATCCCTCAGTGTGAGAGGGCACAGCCTGTTCCATGGAGCCCTCAGTGTGAGAGGGCACAGCCTGTGCCACAGAGCCCTCAGTGTGAGAGGGCACAGCCTGTGCCACAGAGCCCTCAGTGTGAGAGGGCACAGCCTGTGCCACAGAGCCCTCAGTGTGAGAGGGCACAGCCTGTGCCACAGAGCCTTCAGTGTGAGAGCGCACAGTCCTGTGCCACAGAGCCCTCAGTGTGATAGGGCACAGCCTGTGCCACAGAGCCCTCAGTGTGAGAGGGCACAGCCTGTGCCACAGAGCACTCAGTGTGAGAGGGCACAGCCTGTGCCACAGAGCCCTCAGTGTGAGAGGGCACAGCCTGTGCCACAGAGCCTCAGTGTGAGAGGGCACAGCCTGTGCCACAGAGCCCTCAGTGTGAGACGGCACAGCCTGTGCCACAGAGCCCTCAGTGTGAGAGGGCACAGCCTGTGCCACAGAGCCCTCAGTGTGAGAGGGCACAGCCTGTGCCACAGAGCCCTCAGTGTGAGAGGGCACAGCCTGTGCCACAGAGCCCTCAGTGTGAGAGGGCACAGCCTGTGTCACAGAGCCCTCAGTGTGAGAGGGCACAGCCTGTGCCACAGAGCCCTCAGTGTGAGAGGGCACAGCCTGTGCCACAGAGCCCTCAGTGTGAGAGGGCACAGCCTGTGCCACAGAGCCCTCAGTGTGAGAGGGCACAGCCTGTGCCACAGAGCCCTCAGTGTGAGAGGGCACAGCCTGTGCCACAGAGCCCTCAGTGTGAGAGGGCACAGCCTGTGCCACAGAGCCCTCAGTGTGAGAGGGCACAGCCTGTGCCACAGAGCCCTCAGTGTGAGAGGGCACAGCCTGTGCCACAGAGCCCTCAGTGTGAGAGGGCACAGCCTGTGCCACAGAGCCCTCAGTGTGAGAGGGCACAGCCTGTGCCACAGAGCCCTCAGTGTGAGAGGGCACAGCCTGTGCCACAGAGCCCTCAGTGTGAGAGGGCACAGCCCTGTGCCACAGAGCCCTCAGTGTGAGAGGGCACAGCCTGTGCCACAGAGCCTTCAGTGTGAGAGCGCACAGCCTGTGCCACAGAGCCCTCAGTGTGAGAGGGCACAGCCTGTGCCACAGAGCCCTCAGTGTGAGAGGGCACAGCCCTGTGCCACAGAGCCCTCAGTGTGAGAGGGCACAGCCTGTGCCACAGAGCCCTCAGTGTGAGAGGGCACAGCCTGTGCCATAGAGCCCTCAGTGTGAGAGGGCACAGCCTGTGCCACAGAGCCCTCAGTGTGAGAGGGCACAGCCTGTGCCACAGAGCCTTCAGTGTGAGAGGGCACAGCCTGTGCCACAGAGCCCTCAGTGTGAGAGGGCACAGCCCTGTGCCACAGAGCCCTCAGTGTGAGAGGGCACAGCCTGTGCCACAGAGCCCTCAGTGTGAGAGGGCACAGCCTGTGCCACAGAGCCCTCAGTGTGAGAGGGCACAGCCTGTGCCACAGAGCCCTCAGTGTGAGAGGGCACAGCCTGTGCCACAGAGCCCTCAGTGTGAGAGGGCACAGCCTGTGCCACAGATCCCTCAGTGTGAGAGGGCACAGCCTGTGCCACAGAGGCCTCAGTGTGAGAGGGCACAGCCTGTGCCACAGAGCCCTCAGTGTGAGAGGGCACAGCCTGTGCCACAGAGCCCTCAGTGTGAGAGGGCACAGCCTGTGCCACAGAGCCCTCAGTGTGAGAGGGCACAGCCTGTGCCACAGAGCCCTCAGTGTGAGAGGGCACAGCCTGTGCCACAGAGCCCTCAGTGTGAGAGGGCACAGCCTGTGCCACAGAGCCCTCAGTGTGAGAGGGCACAGCCTGTGCCACAGAGCCCTCAGTGTGAGAGGGCACAGCCTGTGCCACAGAGCCTTCAGTGTGAGAGCGCACAGCCTGTGCCACAGAGCCCTCAGTGTGAGAGGGCACAGCCTGTGCCACAGAGCCTCAGTGTGAGAGGGCACAGCCTGTGCCACAGAGCCCTCAGTGTGATAGGGCACAGCCTGTGCCACAGAGCCCTCAGTGTGAGAGGGCACAGCCTGTGCCACAGAGCACTCAGTGTGAGAGGGCACAGCCTGTGCCACAGAGCCCTCAGTGTGAGAGGGCACAGCCTGTGCCACAGAGCACTCAGTGTGAGAGGGCACAGCCTGTGCCACAGAGCCTCAGTGTGAGAGGGCACAGCCTGTGCCACAGAGCCCTCAGTGTGAGAGGGCACAGCCTGTGCCACAGAGCCCTCAGTGTGAGAGGGCACAGCCTGTGCCACAGAGCCCTCAGTGTGAGAGGGCACAGCCTGTGCCACAGAGCCCTCAGTGTGAGAGGGCACAGCCTGTGCCACAGAGCCTCAGTGTGAGAGGGCACAGCCTGTGCCACAGAGCCTCAGTGTGAGAGGGCACAGCCTGTGCCACAGAGCCCTCAGTGTGAGAGGGCACAGCCTGTGCCACAGAGCCCTCAGTGTGAGAGGGCACAGCCTGTGCCACAGAGCCCTCAGTGTGAGAGGGCACAGCCTGTGCCACAGAGCCCTCAGTGTGAGAGGGCACAGCCTGTGCCACAGAGCCCTCAGTGTGAGAGGGCACAGCCTGTGCCACAGAGCCCTCAGTGTGAGAGGGCACAGCCTGTGCCACAGAGCCCTCAGTGTGAGAGGGCACAGCCTGTGCCACAGAGCCCTCAGTGTGAGAGGGCACAGCCTGTGCCACAGAGCCTCAGTGTGAGAGGGCACAGCCTGTGCCACAGAGCCCTCAGTGTGAGAGGGCACAGCCCTGTGCCACAGAGCCTTCAGTGTGAGAGGGCACAGCCTGTGCCACAGAGCCCTCAGTGTGAGAGGGCACAGCCTGTGCCACAGAGCCCTCAGTGTGAGAGGGCACAGCCTGTGCCACAGAGCCCTCAGTGTGAGAGGGCACAGCCTGTGCCACAGAGCCCTCAGTGTGATAGGGCTCAGCCTGTGCCACAGAGCCCTCAGTGTGAGAGGGCACAGCCTGTGCCACAGAGCATTCAGTGTGAGAGGGCACAGCCTGTGTCACAGAGCCCTCAGTGTGAGAGGGCACAGCCTGTGCCACAGATCCCTCAGTGTGAGAGGGCACAGCCTGTGCCACAGATCCCTCAGTGTGAGACGGCACAGCCCTGTGCCATAGAGCCCTCAGTGTGAGAGGGCACAGCCTGTGCCACAGAGCCCTCAGTGTGAGAGGGCACAGCCTGTGCCATGGAGCCCTCAGTGTGAGAGGGCACAGCCCTGTGCCACAGAGCCCTCAGTGTGAGAGGGCACAGCCCTGTGCCACAGAGCCCTCAGTTTGAGAGGGCACAGCCTGTGTCACAGAGCCGTCAGTGTGAGAGGGCACAGCCCTGTGCCACAGAGCCCTCAGTGTGAGAGGGCACAGCCTGTGCCACAGAGCCCTCAGTGTGAGAGGGCACAGCCCTGTGCCATAGAGCCCTCAGTGTGAGAGGGCACAGCCTGTGCCACAGAGCCCTCAGTGTGAGAGGGCACAGCCTGTGCCACAGATCCCTCAGTGTGAGAGGGCACAGCCTGTGCCACAGAGCCCTCAGTGTGAGAGGGCACAGCCTGTGCCACAGATCCCTCAGTGTGAGAGGGCACAGCCTGTGCCATAGAGCCCTCAGTGTGAGAGGGCACAGCCTGTGCCACAGAGCCCTCAGTGTGAGAGGGCACAGCCTGTGCCACAAAGCTCTCAGTGTGAGAGGGCACAGCCCTGTGCCACAGAGCCCTCAGTGTGAGAGGGCACAGTCCTGTGCCACAGATCCCTCAGTGTGAGAGGGCACAGCCTGTGTCACAGAGCCGTCAGTGTGAGAGGGCACAGCCTGTGCCATAGAGCCCTCAGTGTGAGAGGGCACAGCCCTGTCCATAGAGCCCTCAGTGTGAGAGGGCACAGCCTGTGCCACAGAGCCCTCAGTGGGAGAGGGCACAGTCATGTGCCACAGAGCCCTCAGTGTGAGAGGGCACAGCCTGTTCCACAGAGCCCTCAGTGTGAGAGGGCACAGCCTGTGCCACAGATCCCTCAGTGTGAGAGGGCACAGCCTGTGCCACAGAGCCCTCAGTGTGAGAGGGCACAGCCTGTGCCACAGATCCCTCAGTGTGAGAGGGCACAGCCCTGTGCCATAGAGCCCTCAGTGTGAGAGGGCACAGCCCTGTGCCACAGAGCCCTCAGTGTGAGAGGGCACAGCCCTGTGCCATACAGCCCTCAGTGTCAGAGGGCACAGCCCTGTGCCACAGAGCCGTCAGTGTGAGAGGGCACAGCCCTGTGCCACAGAGCCCTCAGTGTGAGAGGGCACAGCCTGTGCCACAGAGCCCTCAGTGTGAGAGGGCACAGCCCTGTGCCACAGAGCCCTCAGTGTGAGAGGGCACAGCCTGTGCCACAGAGCCCTCAGTGTGAGAGGGCACAGCCTGTGCCACAGAGCCCTCAGTGTGAGAGGGCACAGCCTGTGTCACAGATCCCTCAGTGTGAGAGGGCACAGCCTGTGCCACAGAGCCCTCAGTGTGAGAGGGCACAGCCTGTGCCACAGAGCCCTCAGTGTGAGAGGGCACAGCCTGTGCCACAGAGCCCTCAGTGTGAGACGGCACAGCCTGTGCCCAGGCTCTCAGTGTGAGAGGGCACAGTCCTACCTTGCCCAGGGGAGGATGGACGTCGAAGAAGAAGGTTCTGTTGATGTAATAACTGCCCATCTTCCCAAAGTGAGTCTCGTCCCAGCTGCGGGGGAAACAAAGTGTAATGTTGCTGTTCAATCCTCACAAGCTGCCTGGGGAGGGGGGGGGATATGTAGAGGGAAGGGGTGTGGGGAATGGGGGGCGGCGAGAGTGGCGGGGGAGAGTGGCGGGGGAGAGTGGGGGCGGGAGAGTGGGGGGGGTGAGGGGGGAGTGAGTGGGGGGGAGAGTGGGGGGGAGTGGGGGAGTGAGGGCGGAGAGAGGGGGGGGAGAGTGTGGGCGGGGAGAGTGGGGCGGGGAGAGTGGGGCGGGAGATGAGGGGGAGAGTGAGGGGGGAGAGTGGGGGGAGAGTGTGAGGGGGAGAGTGTGAGGCGGGGAGAGTGAGGGGGGGAGAGTGGGGGGTGGGAGAGTGAGGGGGTGAGAGTGAGGGAGAGAGTGGGGCGGAGTAGTGGGGGGAGAGTGAGGGGGGGAGAGGTGGGGGGAGAGGGGCGGGGAGTTGGGAGAGTGGGGGGGGGAGCGTGGGGGGCGGGGAGTGGGGGCAGAGTAGGGGGGGAGTGGGGGGAGAGTGGGGCGGGAGTGGGGGCGGGGAGTGGGGGGGAGTGAGGGGGGTGAGTGAGGGGGGAGTGTGGGGGCGGGGAGTGGGTGGAGAGTGAGGGGCGGGAGAGTGGGGGGGATGAGGGGGGAGTGAGGGGGGAGTGGGGAGAGTGGGGGAGAGTGAGGGGGCGGGTGAGGGTGAGAGTGGGGGAGGTGGGGGGAGAGTGGGGGGGGAGTGAGGGGGAGAGTGGGGGGAGTGGAGTGGGGGAGAGTGGGGGAGAGTGAGGGAGTGGAGAGTGGGGGAGGAGGGGGGAGTGAGGGAGAGTGGGGGGAGTGGGGGGTGAAGAGTGGGTGAGAGTGGGGGAAGTGGGGGAGTGAGGGGGAGTGAGGGGGAGGAGTGGGGGGGAGGTGGAGGGGGAGTGAGTGGGGGAGAGTGAGGGGGAGTGGGTGAGAGTGGGGGAGTGGGGTGGATCAGGGAGGTGAGATGAGGGGGGAGTGGGGGGAGTAGGGGGAGTGAGGGGGGGAGTGGGGGGAGTGATGAGGGATGGTGGGGAGTGGGGGAGTGGGGGAGGGAGTGGTGGGAGAGTGGGGGAGTGGGGTTGATCAGGGCTATGGGGAGAGGGGGGAGTGGGGGAGAGTGGGGTGGGGATGGGGGAGAGTGAGGGGAGAGTGGGGGAGTGGGGGTGAGAGTGGGGGGGAGTGGGGGAGAGTGGGGGGGAGTGAGGGGGGAGAGTGGGGGGAGTGGGAGTGAGGGTAGAGTGGGGGGAGTGGAGGGGTGAGAGTGAGGGAGAGAGTGGGGGGGAGTGAGGGGGGGAGAGTGGGGGGAGTGAGGGGGGAGATGAGGGGAAGTGGGGGGAGTGAGGGGGGAGAGTGGGGGAGAGTGGGGGAGAGTGGGGGGGAGTGGGGGGGCGGGGAGTGGCGGAGGGGGCACTCACCAGACGTGGTCGGGCTCTGACAGGCGGTGGAAGCGGGTGAGGAAAGCGAGGCCTGTGACCAGCAGCAGAGCGGGGCCGCGCCCCCCGACCCTGGCTCCGGTGCCGGGCGGCTCGGGGTTGTTGTGTCGCTGGGGCGCGGGGACCGTGGCCGCCGCAGCCATGGCACCGTCTGCCCGGCCACAGCTCGCTGACTGAGCATGCGCCGCGCGCCGCCTGCCGGGAAATGTAGTTTGTGGCCATTCCAGACCGCGCAGCCGCAGAGCCTCGGCGGCCTAGGCCTGCGCTGGGCCTGGGCCAGAGTACAAAGCAGTCGCGACACGCCCTCAGCCTCAGCGGGTCAGTGGTGGCGCTACGTCTCACTGTCGGGCCGAGCGGGGACACAGGTGCGGTGAGGAGGTGTTTTTTTGGCGGAAGCGGCCGGGAAGGCAGCTCGAGCTGCGGGGGTGAGGAGGGGATGGTGGGGAGCGGAGGGTCAGGGGGTGGGGGCGAGGGTGAGCACCTCAACATCAGTCAGAGGGAGGAGTGGGCTCGGAGTCTGGGGCGGGTGAGGTTGTGGCCGATGGGCTCGTGCTTGTTGGCAGTGGGCAGACTGGTGACTGAGGGGAGTCTGTGGCAGAAGTTGAGTCAGGAGATAGATAAGAAGGTATCTGAGGTTTTGCTGTGAGATGGGGTTGGAGGTGGGGCCATGCAATCAGGTGGGAAAGAAGTCTTTGTCAACAACAACTTGCACTTATACAGTGCCCTCCACGCAGGGAAGCGTCTCGGGCACTGAAGGTGATGAAGGAAAAACATCTGAGTTAGTGCACAAGTACAGTGAGTTTGAGTGTGAGGCTATGGAGGTGCATGAGGTTGGAGTTTGGAGGCATTGGCGAGAGGATAGCTTCTGTTTTGCTATATTTAGTAAAAGGAAGTTGATGTTCATCCAGGCTTTGATGGCTATCAGGCAGGTAGTGATAACATTAGTAGACCTATGATCATGACTGGATGTGGAAAAGTTCATTGTGTCATCTGTACACATCTGGAAGATGACTGTGGTGGGTCAAGTAAGAATGGAGCCAGGAGAGCTCTGCCCCAAAGAGGTGTTTGAGGGAGGAGAGCAGATCGAGGAAGATGGAGTGGTTGACAGTGTCAGAAGCAGTGAAGAGATTGAGAAAGTTGAGAGAAAGTTCTTCATTGGTACTTTCATGAAGCTCAGTGCTGTGGACAAGGTCAAAGGAGGACTGTGGTGGCTCGAGCAGAAAGTGAAGTTGAGTGGTAACAGTGAGTTCCAGGACTAAGGTAGGACAGATTCAACTTCTGTATGAGAAAACAATGCATGAGGAAGAAAGGAATAGAGGGATATGGGAGAGGAGATTAGGAGGGGTGGATGCTTGTATGGAATACAGACTAGATGGGCAGAATGGCCTGTGTCTGTTCTACTCTTATCTAAATGTGCTGAAAGTTCTGTAAGTTTATTACATTTACGGAAAGTCGTGCTGGCTGGATGTTGACTAAAATCAGTACACCAGAAGAATTTTGTATCTCTCTTCACGTATTGCCACAGGATTTTTAACAGTCAACTGAACAGGCACAGGCGAGAGCTCATTTTGAAGGAGACCCCACTTCCATCTTACCCACCTCAGCCCCCCCACCCCCCGACCTAATCATGATGATGGTTTTCTGTATGTGTCAGATACCCTCCTGACCAAACAAAATGCGAGCATATTGTTTGCATTCACTTCATTTAACATTATTGCCTGCATTTATGTGAAGTCTGACTGTTTTCCCTTTGGCTCCAGCTGTACCTGGTGAAATGATCCAGCTTCAGGTAGAAGAAGAATTTGAGACAAGTTTGGAAAATGCTCGAGCCTGGATGCACTGGATCCAGGAACAAGTGGAAGCCAATGACAGCATCCTGGGACCTAGGTCTGCCCTGGAGGCCAGGCTAAAAGCATCTGAGGTAAGGGGAGAAACGAGCTGCAAATGTAGCAGTTTTTTCTGGGTTTTCCCCAGCACCATTCTATAGCCATCAGCTGGAAGCTCAAATCATCCTGGCTAACTTCTCTTCAGTTTTCAATCCTTATTGCAGACACCCATTCCTTCCTCAGTTTTATTCCTCAGGATGTGGACCACACTGGCAGGACCAGCTATACAAGTGTGGTCCACATCCTTGGATGGCAGACAGGACCATCTCAGAAGGACAAACCTGGGAACTACAGGCCAGTCAGCCTAACTTCAGTAGTGGGGAAACTCCTGGAAACTATAATCCGGGACAGAATAAATCTTCACTTAAAAGAATATGGGTTAATTAGGGACAGCCAGTGCGGATTTGTTAAAGGCAAATCTTGTCTAACAAATCTAATAGAATTTTTCGATGGAGAGGGGATAAAGGTAGTGCAGTTGATGTAGTTTGTATGGACTTTCAAAAGGCATTTGACAAAGTGCCACGTGAAAGACTTGTAAGAAAGATATAAAAGGTATAAAAGGGACAGCGGCAGCGGATCCAGAACTGACTGGGAGACAGAAAGCAGAGAGTTGTGGTGAACGGCTGCTTTTCTGACTGGAGGAAAGTGTACAGTGGCGTCCCCCAGGGATCGGTATTAGGACCACTGCTTAATATACATTAAGAATACATAAATGTATTTTATGTATACATAAATGATATACATAAATGATCTGGACTTGGGTATAGCAAGTACCATTTCCAAGTTTGCGGACGACACAAAGTTAGGGAGGGGGTAAACAGTGAGAAGGATAGGAGCCGACTGCAGGAAGACATAGACAGAGTGGTAAAATGGGCAGACACATGGCAGATGAGTTTCAATGTGGAGAAATGCAAAGTAATGCATTTTGGTAGAAAGAATGAGGGGAGGCAATATACAACAACAACAAGATTCCATTTATAGAGCGCCTTTCACGTCGGGAGGACAGGCTGGTAATACAATCCTAAAAGAGCAGAGAGCCCTGGGGGGTGCAGGTAAATGAATCCTTGAAGGTGGCAGGACAGGTAGATAAAGCTGTAAAAAGGGCAAATGGGATACTGGGCTTTATAAATAGAGGCATAGAGTACAAGAGTCAGGAGGTTATGATTAACCTATATAAAACACTGGTTCTATCTTTCTTACCAGTTCTGGGCACCACACTATAGGAAGGATGTTAAGGCAATGGAAAGGGTGCAGAGGAGATTTACAAGAATGGTACCAGGAATGAGGGACCTTGATGAAGAGGAAAGGCGAGAGAGACTGGGATTATTCTCATTGGAGCAGAGAAGGTTACGAGGAGATCTAATAGAGGTCTTCAAAGTCATGAGGGGATTTGATAGGTTAGAAAGGGAAAAACTTTCCACTGGTGGGTGTGTCGGTGACTCGAGGTCACAGATTCAAAATAGTTTGTAAAAGAAGCCGAGGGAAGGTGAGAATTTTTTTTACAGGCAGCGAGTTGTTCGAATCTGGAATGCATTGCTGGAAAGGAGGCCGATTCGATAACTACTTTTCAAAAACGCGGTGGATGGGTATTTGAGGAGGACGGGTTTGCAGGTTATGGGGAAAGGGCTGGGGAGTGGGATTGACATTATATTGCTCTTCTCAAAGAGCTGGCACTGACTCGATGGGCTGAATGGCCTCTTTTTGTGCTGTCCGATTCTATATTCTCCTTAAACAAGTTCCCCACTTTTGGGTCACTGATTGTATGTCAGCCTATCTATGGAATCATGTCGCTTAGTGGTTAGAGCACTCACCTCACAAGCAAGAGGACCTGGGTTTGATTCCCAGGAGGGTGAAATGTTGTGCAAGTTTCCTTACTCCGCACGCCTCTATTTGCCCAGCAGTAAATAGTAAATAGGAACCCAGTTAGTGGATTGGTGGTTCGCTGGGTGATCGAAAGCACGGTCGAAGTGGAGGGTCTTGAGACGGGTCTTGAAGGAGGTTCGAGGGGGAGGGACTGCGGGATGAAGTTCTAGAAGGTGGGGCAGAGTGGCTGAAGGCCCAACAACAACAAGATTCCATTTATAAAGCGCCTTTCACGTCAGGAGGATGTCCCAAGGCGCTGCACAGTTGGGTCATGACCCGAGCAGGGGGGAAATGGTCAGGGTGAGGGGAGGGAAGGGAGGGAGCGAGGAGGGGGAAATGGTCAGGGTGAGGGGAGGGAAGGGAGGGAGCGAGGAGGGGAAGAGAGTCGAGAGGGGAGCTGAAGGCACGGTCAAAGAGAAAGGTTTTGAGACCGGCCTTGAAGGAGGAAAGGGAGGAAGCGGCGAAGGCACTGGGGGATGGAGTTCCAGAGCCTGGGGGCTGAGAGGCTGAAGGCCCGACCACCGATGGTAGGGCGGTTGGGGCGGGGGACGTGGAGCAGACCGGAGCCAGAGGAACGGAGGGTACGGGCAGGTAGGTAGGGGGATAGTAGGTTGGAGAGGTAGGAGGGAGCAAGGCCGTGAATGGCCTTGTAGGTGAGGATGAGGATCTTGAAATCAATCCTCTGGGGGATGGGGAGCCAGTGGAGGCGAGCGAGGGTGGGAGTGATGTGGTCCGAAGCCTGGTGCGGGACAGTACACGAGCTGCAGAGTTCTGAATGACCTGCAGCTTGTGGAGGGAGGTGGCGGGAAGGCCGGCGAGGAGAGAGTTCCCATAGTCCAGCCTTGAGGTGACAAAGGCGTGAACCAGGGTTTCAGCAGCGTGAGGGGTGAGGTAGTGCCGTAGTCTGGCGATGTTCCGGAGGTGATGGAAGGCGGTGCCAGTTGTGGTGCGGATGTGAGGGAGAAAGGACAGCTCAGGGTCGAACAAAACGCCGAGGTTCCTGACTGGCTTTGAGAGGTGGAGAGTGCAGCCTTGGATGCTGATGGTGTCAGCGCCTGAGGTGCGGAGGCGCTGACGTGAGCCAATCAGGAGGGCCTCGGTTTTTCGCACGTTGAGCTGAAGAAAGTTGTCTCTCGTCCAGGACTCGATGTCGGACAGGCAGCTGTCAGGACATCGGTGGTCGTGGAGTTGAGAGTAGAGGAGGAAAGGTAGAGTTGGGTGTCATCCGCATACATGTGGAAGTTAACTCCATGTCTGCGGATGATGTCACCAAGGGGGAGCATATAGAGGGTGAAGAGGAGGGGACCGAGGACAGAGCCCTGAGGGACACCACATGAGACAGTACGGGGGGTGGAGGAGAAGCCATTCGTCGAGACAAAGTGAAGACGGTGAGAAAGGTACGACCTAAACCATTCAAGGACAGTGCCTTGAAGGTTGAGGTGGGAGGACAAGCGGTGGAGTAGGATAGCGTGGTCGACCGTATCGAATGCTGCCGATAGGTCGAGGAGGACGAGGAGACAGAGGGAGCCCTGGTCACAGATGGTCAGGATATCATTGGTGACCTTGACCAGGGCAGTTTCTGTGCTATGGGCAGCACGGAAACCTGACTGAAGGGGTTCGAAAAGAGAATGGGTGGAAAGGAAAGAGCGCAGTTGGGAGGCGACAACTCTTTCCAAGACCTTGGAGAGAAAGGGGAGGTTGGAGATGGGCCGGTAGCTTGATAGCTGCGACGCATCAAGGGAGGGTTTTTTCAGGGTGGGCGTGATGATGGCAGTTTTTAATGGAATGGGGACAGAGCCAGAGGAGAGGGACAGGTTGATGATGTCAGTGATATGTGGGGCAAGAAAGTGGAGCTGGGAGATAAGGAGTGGAGTGGGGATGGGGTCAAGGGAGCAGGTGGTTGGTTTTAGGGATAGGATGAGTTCAGTGACAGAGGGTGGGGAAACGGGTACGAAGGTGTGTAGGGGAGGATGGGTAGGAGTCGGAGTGTGGGAGGGAAGGGGTGGGTGGTGGGTGGAAGTTGGAGGGGAAGTGACCGCGGAGCGGATTCCCTTGATCTTGGATTCAAGGAAATCCAGCATCTCCTCGCAGTGAAGGTTGGAGGAGATGACCTGCGCGGGGTGGCGGGGGGACGGAGGAGTCGGGTTGTGGTGGAAAACAGTAGCCTGGGGTTGTTCTTCGCCTCCAGGATTATCCTGGAGTAGAAGGACGACTTGGCCGAGGCTAGAGTGGAGCGGTAAATTTTGAGGAGGTCCAGCCAGATTTGTCGGTGGACCGTTAGGCCAGATTTGACACAGGTGCGTTCAGCAGCCCGCACCTGGCTTTTCAGTGAGCGGAGGTGGGTGGTGTACCAGGGGGAGGAGCGGGAGTAGGAGACAGTGCGGGAAGTGATGGGGGCAAGAGTATCGAGTGTGGAGGAGAGGGTATTGTGGAGGAGGGAGAGAGGAGAAGAGGGGTCGGTGAGGGTTGAAGGCCAGAGGGAGAGGAGTTCAGAGGACTCCAAGGCACTCCATTGGCCCACCCACCAATAGTGAGGCGAGTGAGGCCAGAGCCCGCTGAACAGAGGAAGCGAGCAGGATGGTGGGGGGTTAGGAGGTCACAGACGTAAGGGTGAGCAAGACCATGGAGGGTTTTGAAAGTGAGGACCAGGATCTTGAACTGTATCCTTGGTGTGATGGGAAGCAAGTGGAGTCGGGTGAGGATGGGGGTGATAGGGTCACGGAGCCTGGACATGGGCTGGAGTTCTGGATGATCTGCAGCCTGTGGAGGGAGGAGTTGGGGAGGCCGACAAGCAAGGAGTTTGCATAGTCAAGCCTCGATGTAATGAAAGCGTGTATGAACGTTTTGGTGGCCTGCGGTAATAATAATAATTTGGTCACTCAATCCACAACTGTTTGTGGGCGCTGTTGTGCGCAATTGGCTGGCGTGTTTTGCCCACAAATTACACAGTCAATTCACTTTACGGTATATTCTGTGAAGCTCTTTGAGACGACTCTTATGGCCCTATATCAGATGCAAGGATAGGCTGACTGTATATCAGCCAATCTCGGTTGATAAAACTCTCACCTCTGAGGTTGTGGGGGTGATAGGGTGTTTGAGTTTGAGCCCCGCTTTGGGACTTTGAGCTGACAGTCTGGGCTGACACTCCGATGCAGTGCTGGCCGTTGTCAGCGACGTCTTCTGTCGGAAGGAACTTTAAACTGAGGCCCTACTTGCCTGTTCACGTTGACATTAAAGATCCCATTGCATTATTTGAAAAGAGTGGTTTCTCCTGGTGTCCAGGCCAACAATAAATTGGGTTGCCCACACAATAAAATCATTCCATTTTGCAGTCTTTGCGCTTTGAGATGACTTCCTGATGCAAAGGAGCTATATAAATAAGTATTATTTGCTTCATGGCTGTTTTGGGGATATTGCTGTGCGCAAATTGGCTGTCATGTTCACCTAAAATTACACAGTCATTGCACTTTACCATAAATCATGTGAAGAGCTTTGTGATGATGTGCTCCAGTGCTATATCAAATGCAGGATTATTATTTACTGGGGTGCAGTTCCACAATAACTTGCCCAAGTAGCCATTCCTTACAGAGCCCAGACATGAAGTAGTCCAATCAGCTGTGAGGGGCATTACAATTGAGCACAATTTTGCCCTCACTTGACTTCTACATCCAGCAAGGAACAAGTTGGAGTCTATGTAGATTCTACATTAACACCTGATGGCCTGGAATGGGAAATGTATGTTACTATGTAACTTACCTGGTGGATATATTGTAGAGTTACGGTAAATTAAGAATACTAGCCTATTTTCATAAACTGATTGAAAATGGGTTTAGGTAACATTAGTAACTGATTGATTTTACCGCAGAATATTTTGAAGGAGGAACCTGAAGGGAAACTCAAACTGCAGATGGTGCTGCTGAAAGCCGAGTCCCTCCTACACAATAGGAAAGGGGACAAAAAACATGAGATCCAAGCGGCACTGAAAGAGATCAAAACCATGTGGGAGGAGACGACAATATCCATGATCCATTGTCACAGGTAGGTAGGCAGCTTTCACACCCGAGTACAGAAGGCATTATTTCAGCATTTGACCTGCGAGTGTGAAAAGACAGTGTACTCTGTCTCCAAACCGTGCGGTTGCTGACCTGAGTGTTGGATGGACAGTGTAGAGGACGTTTCACTCTTTGTACTATGAATCTATCAATAACAACAACAAATTTACATACACGCCTAATAATAATCCCTCCAAAACCAAAAACAATAATAAATTGGTCATTTCAATCTACGACTGTTTGTGGGACATTGCTGTGCGCAATTGGCTGCCGCGTTCGCCCACAAATATACAGTCAATTCACTTTACAGTGTGTTCTGTGAAGCGCTTTGGGACGTCCTTCCGCTGTGAAAAGCGCTATATCAAATGCAAGGATTATTATTTGTAAAGTGCCTTTCACATCAAGAGGATGTCCCAAGATGCTGGGCAGTGCATAATTTGCCCCCGAGCTGGGTGTGCCTTTACTTGACATCTGCACATCCAGCGGAAAACAAGGTGGGGCTGGGGGAATGTGGGAAGAAAGATGACCAAAGGGTTGGTTAAATAGGAAAGTCTCGAGACGCACCTTGATGGATGCGAGAGAAAAGGCAAGTTGCAGGGACTCTGGGATGGAGATCCAGAGAGTGGGAGCAGAGAGGCTGAAAGCTCGACTGTGGATGGTGTGGGACATGAAGCTTGAAGAGATATTTTTCCAATATTGGCATTGTTCAGAAAATATTTTTTTTATCAGCAAGGTGCCTGACATTTTTCCCCTATCCCCTGCAGTGATACACTCAGTTTACCTAATTCCAGAGAATATCTGGCAAAAGTCGAAACTTTGGCGAATTACAGAGTGTGCGTTGGAGTAACTACTGGGGTTTAACCAGCTGAAAATGCATAGCTTGCAATTGAGAACACTGTATAGGGAGCTTCCTGCTGCATGTACAGCTAGGTCCACTCTACCAATTAGGGCTTTAGCTTGCAGGGTTAACAGGAGCCAAGTGGGAATAATCCCTGCCCCTTGTACCCTTCCTAAATCCTGCCAATGAGCCAAGCTGGCTAGTGTGTCATCAGCAGTGCCCTGGAGTACTGCAGATCTGCCTGGCTCAAGAAACTGGGCTAGTGCCTGCCACAGAGTGTTCTGACATTCTGTGGCTAGGCTTATCATCTTGGAGCAAATTCAGCTCCCATTAACCTCTCCCCTCCCCGTTCCCAGAGAATAGAATGTGGTTGTTTTGTAGGGAGTTACTGATCCTTTCAACAGCTGATTTTTCAGAGTTGAGAGTGAAACTGATTATATTTCCCTCTTTGCACTTTAGTCGAATTGAATGGGTTTTACTGCATTGGTCCGAGTATCTGAAAGCAGAAGGAGAATATTTTTCTTGGTTCTTGAACATGAAGCAGAAGTTGGAGCCTAACCTGGAGTTACAGCTGGACCTAAAGGAAAAACAGTTACAACTTAGCCATCACCGGATCCTACTCAGTAACATCCACAACCAGTCCGCCCTGCTGCAGCGACTGGCACAGGAGAGAGGATCCTTGTTTGAGAAAACAAAAGACCCGACTCTCCATGAGGACATTCAGCGGAAAGTAAATGCTGAACACCAAGAGCTGCAGAGACAAGCAAAGGTTTGACAATCTGCTGAGAAATTAGCCAGCTATTTGGTGAAGGTGTTGATTGAGGATTCTGGTATATTTGTAGAATTATTTAGTTTGGTATTGGCCAGAAGAATGGTTATGTAAAAACTGGATTAGTCAGAAGCAACTGACAGCTCCCGAGACTCTGGTTAATTTGCAGAGCACAATAATCCAGATTGTCGTGGGTCATGTTTTCCTCTTAGCAAGTGGTGCTGTGTTCTCACCTTGTAGGCTCATGTCCTTAGTTTGTTCAGCTTCCTACTTGAGATGCTGTGATTTCTGCTCAATATTTTGAAATGCAAATCTTTAAATTTTTATTCAGACTCACTAAATTGCATGGCTTTTAGTTATTGTCAGCAGTAATGTCAGTTTAAGAACATAAGAATTAGGAGCAGGAGTAGGCCATTCGGCCCCTCGAGCCTGTGCCCCGCCATTCGATAAGTTCACGGCTGATCTTCAGACCTAACTCTAATTATCTGCCCTATCCCGATATCCCCTAATGCCTCTGTTTTTTAAAAATCTATCAGTCTCAGCCTTGAAGATGTTCAAGGACTGAGCATCTACAGCCTTCTGGGGTACTGAATTCCATAAATTCGCTACCCTCTGAGTGAAGAAATGTTTCCTCAACTCTGTTCTAAAAGGCTGACCCTTAATTTTCAGACTGTGACCCCTGGTTATAGATTCTCCTACCAGGGGAAACAGTAGTGTCTACTTTATCAGCCCTTTAAGAATCTTATATGTTTCAATAAGATCTCCCCTAATTCTTCTGTACTCTGGAGAATACAGCCCTAGTTTATTCAGCCTCTCCTCATAGGTCAGTCCCCTCATCCCAGGAACTAACCGAGTGAATCTACGCTGCACCCCCTCGGGGGCAAGTAAATAAGGAGACCAAAACTGCACACAATACTCTAGGTGCGGTCTCACCAAGGCTCTACACAGTTGCAGCAAGACTTCCCTACTCTTATACTCTAAACCTTTTGCAATGAACGCTAACATGCCGTTCGCCTTCTTAGTTGCTGCTGCACCTGCAAACTAACTTTTTGAGACTGGTGTATAAGGACACCCAAATCCCTCTGCACTCTAACACTATCTACTCTCTCCCCCTCTAGAAAATAATCTGTTTTTCTATTTTCTCTACTGAGGTGAATAACTTCACACTTCCCCACATTAAATTCCATCTGCCACCTACTCGTCCACTCCCCGAGCCTATCTATATCCCGTTGCAATCTTTTTGCATCATCCTCAGAGCTTACTCTCCCACCTAGGTTAGTGTCATCCGCGAATTTAGATACGTTACATTCAATGTCCTCGTCTAGATCATTGATGTTTGCCGATATCCATCCTTTCAAAAGGAGATGTTAAATATTGTGTTGATGAACAACTCTGGTGGGCAGTGCATATAAACCTCATTTGTGGAATTGATGATTGTTTCAGGAAAAAGTGAATGTTTTAGAAGCAATTACAGAAGAGCATGAGCAATACCAAGAGAGTTTGGACAAATTCCAAAACTGGCTGAACTCCATCAGCGAAAAATATGATGGGATTACGACAAAAGACTACACAGGCTCCATTGAGGAAATACTGAAAGGTTTAAGGGTACGTCAACCATTTACACCTGGACAATATGTTAAATAAAGTAAGTCATGACTTGTGAACCGAGACCTAACAACACGCAATTTCCATCAAATCTTGAATGCAAGAGAAGTTAAAATAGGTACTATAGCGTATAACATCCCCTGCTTTCACTCCAAAACCTGGTTTAAAAATCATGTCCCTTCGCTTGCACCTTCCCTTGCCTCCTTCAAGGCACATCTCAAAACCCGCCTTCGACCACCCTCCTACCACTATCCTCCCTGCCCTCCACCTCTCCTGGTCCCAACCCCCAGCTCTGGTCCAAATCCCTGACTGTCCAGTGCCTTAGGATATCCTCCTGATGTGAAAGGTGCTATGCAAATATAATTTGTTATTGAATTGTTGGCGGTATCTTCCTTTGGATTAGATATTAAGTCGAGGTTCTATCTGCCTGTTGAGGTGGACATCTGAAAATCCCATGGTGCTATTGGAAAAGAGAATGGAGTTTTCCTGGTCAGCTGGCCAACAATCCCTCAAATAAAATTGGTTACTTGCTCCATGGCTGTCTGTGGAACATTGTGGTATATCCTGCAAAGTGCTTTGAGGCATCTCAATGCTGTGGTAAGGTGTTATAGCAAATGCAAGGTTTATTATAATTAAAATGCACAGTCAATACACTTTACAGTAAATCCTGTGAGACATTTTCACAATATGCAAGGATTATTATTAACTTATACTTTTCCAATACTACCTAGGAAAAGTAGTAAACAGTGAGGAGGACAGTAGCAGACTGCAAGAGGACATGGACAGACTGGTAAAGTGGGCATGGGAGGAAGAATGAGGAGAGGCAATATAAGCTAATGGTACAATCTTAAAGGTGGTGAAGGAACAGAGAGACCTGCGGATTCATTTAAGTAAATCTTTGATGGTGGTAGGACAGGTAGATAAAGCTATTAAAAAAGCTTCCGGGATACACGGCTTTATAAATAGGGGCATAGAATACAACAGTCAGGAAGTTATGATGAACCTTTATAAAACACTGGTTAGACCTCAGCTGCAGGATTGCGTTCAGTTCACATTTTAGGAAGGATGTCAAGGCATTGGAGGGGGTGCAAAAGAGATTGACCAGAATGGTACCAGGAATGAGGGACTTCAGTTATCAGAAGAGGCTCGAGAAGCTTGGATTATTCTCCTTGGTTAAGAGGAGACTTAATAGAAATTTTCAAAATTATGAAGGGATTCGTTCAGGTGAGCAAGAAGAAACTCTTCCCACTGGCGAGTGGGTCGGTAATTTGTGGGCACCGAATTAAAATAGTTGCTAAAAGAAATAGAGGTGAGGAGAAATGTTCTCACACAGTGAGTTGTTGGGATCTGGAATGCATTGCCTGAAAGGTTGGTGGAAGCTGATTTGGTAACAACTTTTAAGATAGAAGTAGATAATTATTTGGGGAGGACAAGTTTGCAGGGCTCTGGGGAGAGCGCGGGGGGGTGGGATTGATCAGGGCTATGGTGAGAGAGTGGGGGAGTGGGGTTGATCAGGGCTATGGTGAGAGAGTGGGGGAGTGAGGTTGATCAGGGCTCTGGGGAGAGCGCGGGGGGGTGGGATTGATCAGGGCTATGGTGAGAGAGTGGGGGAGTGGGGTTGATCAGGGCTATGGTGAGAGAGTGGGGGAGTGGGGTTGATCAGGGCTATGGGGAGAGAATGGGGGAGTGGGGTTGATTTGGAAGCTCTTTTTAAGAGCGGCACAGATACGATGGGCGAATGGCTTCCTTCTATGCTATATAATTCTATGGTTCTAGTACTATAATGGGTTTTATTAACAAAGATAATGAAATCCTTACTGAAAGAGGTAGTAGAAAAACATCTGGAAACTGAAAATATAATAAAGAATAGTCAGCACGGATTTCAAAAAGGAAGGTCATGCTTGACCAACCTCATTGAGTTCTTCGAAGAGGAAACAGAAATAGTAGACAAGGGGAATGTAGATGTAATATGTTTGGATTTAAAAAAAAACATATTGGACTAATAAATAAGGTCAGTGCATGTGGAGTCAGGGGAAACATAGCAGAATCAATAGCAAGCTGACTTCAAGACAGAAAACAGAGGAGGGGTAAAGGGAGCTACTCAGACTGGCAGGAGGTAGAAAGTGGTGTTCCACAAGGATCGGTATTGGGACCTACTGTTGTTCACAACTTACATTAACGATTTGACCGATTCACCAATAAGTGGAAATAATCTTTTACTGATTATGAAAGGCTTTCAGAACCTCTGGGTTTAATATATCCATAACGAGGATAGAAATAAGGATAGAAATTCATCTTGAGAGAGATACAACCGCTATCATTGTTCTTTCACAAGAATAAGGAGATCTTTGATGTTCGTTAGCCAGATACTTTTTCAAGAATTTAAGCTATGACCTTCACAGGAGCTGGCAGATGCAGTGAGTAGCAAAGAAGAAGACTTGCTGCAACTGGAACATAATGGCAAAGCTGTAACAGGGAATACATCTCCACTTGGCGCTGAGCACATCACCAGGGAACTGGAGGAGCTGAGAGAGAAATGGGAAAGATTGCGACTGAGCTGCACACAGGACAAGGAAGCGTTGCTTCAATCACAGCAGGAGTTCACGTCTAGGGCTCAGCAACTGGAGAAAAACGTGGCCGAGTTCAACAATCTGGTACATAAGGTGGAAGTGGAGACTTTAAATGTGGATGACACCAATGACGAACTGGAAACTACCTGGAGGAAATATGTGGTAAGTGAAGTCACGAGGTCATGGTTCACACAGCCTCCTCAAGCACCCATTTTAATTCACTTCATGGGTAATATTACCATAATAACATTACATTAGTGAACTCTTAACTATGGTCAATGGCAGAGACTGTCAATACCAACAACTTGCAGTTATACAGTGCCCTTCACGCAGGGTAGGATCCCAGAACGCTTGAACGGTCACATTCCAACCTCTTTTCCTGCCTCCAGTTGTATGCACATGTTTTACTCTGTGCCACAGATCAGCAGGAAAACGCTATTAGAGGAGCAGCCGCATGTAGAACATTTCATGTTGGAGCTGAAGGAACTTTTCAGCTTGTCGCAGGACCAGAATCTCTCCAACTGTGTCCTGCTTGCCATTCGAGAGTATCACAGGTAACATTCAGGAACTTTCCTCTGAACCTGAAAAATATGGAACTACTTGTATTAATGAAGTTTCTAATCATCAAGATGTAAAATGTCTATTTGGGTAAGATTTGCAAATTGTGTTTTTTACTTTCAAGCAGCATTCAAAGTTCTGTTACAGCACATTGTAACAATGAGAATTTAGTAATTGAGGGAAGAATGTCAACATTTGCAGATAACACAACAGAAAATGACAAACTGAGGGTGATTGTGGAGAGCTGTTGGATGGCATATAGGCCAGCAAGGTGGACACATTACTAGCTGATGTAACTCAATGAAGAACAATGTGAAATAACACATTTTAGATGTAGGAATATGTAAATTGTATGTAATATTACCGTAATAATATTAACTTAATGGTAATTTCTTGGTGTGCACATATACACAGGTATAAGCAACAGCACAGATAGATAGATATCACTAAGCAAAAGGCAAATGGATACCCTTTTGGATTTTATTCCCTCCACGTGATTTCTTTCCTGTTAGTTAAATGTTGTCCCTGGAATAGTACCATGGCTGGATTGTTCCTCATTGCTGACTGTGGACATTATATTTTTCTTTCACCTTCTGACAGGGTAACTGGAAGGTTAGATGTGATGTGTAACCAAGTAGAGATGAAAATGAGGCAGAATGTTCAGCAGCTCCAGGGAGAGTTTCAGCAGTGGAGGAGCAGGACTCGCAGATTGCTGGATTTGTCCTCGGACATCACAGACACAACATTGCTTGGTGTTTACCTCCAGCAAATTGAGGTAATTTATTGAATATAATTGTATGCTTTAGCAAAACATGATGGTCAAACTGGTTATGGAGTCCCAAAGCGCAGCGGTTAGTGCAGTCGCTTCGCAAGTGAGAGGACTGGGTTTGATTCCCGGGCAGGGCAAAACCTTAGGCAAATTTCCTTATTGGACACGCCTCTTGTTTATTTAGCAGTAAGTAGGAACCCAACAACAACTTGGATTTGTATAGTGCCCTCCTCGCCGGACGGCGTCTCAGAGCGCTTGAAGTTGTTAGACGATTGGAGGATTGCTTTCAGATAAATATCTCTAAACAAAAGGCAAAAAAAAATCCTCCCCAAAAAATTAAAAATTGATGAATTAATACACGACTGTTTGTGGGACACTGCTGTGCGCAATTGGCTGCAATGTTTCGCCCACAAAATATACAATCACTACAATTTACAGTATTCTGTGAAGCACTTTGAAGCGTTTCAATGACGTGATAGGCACGCTGCAAGATGGGCCAAATGGCTTCCTTCTGTGCTGTTATATTCTATTCCAAGCAGGGCGAAACCTTGGGCAAGTTTCCTTACTCCACACAGAGCCTAATAATAATCCCTCCAAAACAATAATAAATTGGTCATTTTCAATCCATGACTGTTTGTGGGACATTGCTGTGCGCAATTGGCTGTCGCGTTCGCCCACAAATATACAGTCAATTCACTTTACAATATATTCTGTGAAGCGCTTTGGGACGTCTAGAAGACGTGAAAAGCGCTATATCAAATGCAAGGATTATTTTTATTATGACATCCAATATTTTTACATCCAATTTACCTAGCGTTAGCTAAAGTGGATTCACTATATGTTAAAAACACATATAGTGAATCCACTTTAGCTAACACCAGGTAAATTGGATGTAATGTCTGGTCTCAATCCATTTGTATTCTTGCCTGTTTTATAAACACCTGTTAATTCAGGGGAAAATGCTGCACTGATCTCTGCTTAATGTACTCACTCCCACGTTCTGTGCCACGAGATGGGACGAATCACATTGTGATTGACAGTGGACTCCATCCATTCACAAGCGGGTGGGGAAAGCAACTGCTTCTGAGGGGATCAATTAGTGGGTTTCTGAGGTGATTGACAACTAACGGAGCCATTGCTAATTGATCCCCTTCCTGCCCAATGCGAACGGCAATGGGAGGAAAGAGGCGCTCAGCAGAGGAGACATCGGGAAGAGAAAAGTAAGAACTTTGGTTACTGGATACCGGATAAGTCAGACAAAACTCCCTGCCCTAAAGCAGATTCCACTGTATTCCTAGTTTCCTGAGTAAACCTTGCCAACCTGCACCAAATACTCTCTGGAATTAGGTAAGCAAAGTGTGTCCCTCCAGGGAGAGAGGGTGCATCCCACCCAGACATGGGAATTTCCATGTGTAGGGGCATGAATGGAACTCTGTCTAGTTTGGATACTCTTTAACATGGTGAGGCCCCCCGGCTGCGGAGCCCCCCCCCTCCCCCGGCTGGGCAAAGGAAAATCAGTCTGTGGGTGAATATTAGACACTGCGTTAGGTTCTTTTACGTCACAAATCCTGTTTGAGTAGACTTATTGGTAGAACTTGGATTTGTAGCTAAAGCCACAAGTTTATCAGGTTGGATATAAACAGGAATTACAAAGTTATCAGCTTTACCAACTGAAAATGTTCACATTGGAGACAGAGATTGTGATAGTAAATGCTCAGTTTGGCCCTTTCTTACAGTATTCTGGAGGCTCAAACATTTTCACTCATTCCCTAATTCAGTTTAATGAACAAAATGTTTTCTCTCATTCTCTCTCTCAGGATTGCCTGTCGCAGAGCTCTCTGCTGCACAACCAGTTCAGCAGCTCCCAGGTGAAGCAGAGAACAATGGGCATTGACTCCAGTGAAGATTTATCTGATGTGTTACAGCAGACACAGCTGCTTACTGAGAGGCTGCTGGAGCTGAGACAGAAGCTGCAGGTACTGTCTGACCTGTCAAACAAACCAACGTTACTAAGCAGCAATGTGGATAGGAAGTGCTGGATCAAATACAAAATTATTATTTTATCAGACAAAGTAGATATTAAACAACTTCATTGAGAGGTTGACCTGTGAAAGGAATATTTATTTTGTGATATTTTCTGCTGAGGCATTGCCAGATTTGCTACAAGATTTGAGAATCAAGGAAACAAAATAGAAATTTGCTGATGTTCCCAACATGGGAACATATCAATTTGTGACGAGAATTGTGAAAAATTGCAGGAGATGAAACTTAACTGAAGGCCCATCTGCCAACGGTCTCCTCTGTGTGATGGGAAGCCCGTGGAGTCCGGCAAGGATGGGGGTGATAGGGTCGCGGAGCCTATTGTGGGAGAGGACACGAGCTGCAAAGATCTGGATTATCTGTAGCCTATGGAGGGAGCAGTTGGGGAGGTCAACAAGCCGAGAGTTTGCGTAGTTGAGCCTGGATGTTATAGAATCATACAGAACAGAAAGAGACCATTCGGCCCATCACTTCCTGCCAACTGCTCCTCCAGCGAAGTAACTAAGCTCCAGGCAAACAAGATAGAGACATTTTGTAGACAATCAGAAAACTTTTACATCACAAAGGACAACAATTCTGACTTTACCTATGTTGCTATCCTACTTAGATCTTAAAAGTTATGAAAAAGTTAGTAAGTTAGAATCATAGAACTATACAGCACAGAAGGAGGCCATTCGGCCCATCGTGTCTGTGCCATCTCTCTGTTCCTTCACCCCCTTTAAGATTGTACCATCAGCTTATATTGCCTCTCCTCATTCTTCCTCCCAAAATGCAGCACTTTGCATTTCTCCACATTAAACTTCATCTGCCACGTGTCGGCCCATTTTCCCTTTCTGTCTATGTCCTCTTGCAGTCTGTTACTATCCTCCTCATGTTTACTACCTTTCACAGCTTAGTATCATCTGCAAACTTGGAAATTGTACTCCCTATACCCAAGTCCAGGTCATTTATATAGATCAAGAACAGCAGTGGCCCCAATACTGATCCCTGGGGGACACCAATGTACACTTCCCTCCAGTTAGAAAAATAAACGTTCACCACCACTCTCTGCTTTCTGTCTCCCAGACAGTTCTGTATCTGCTGTCACTGTCCCTTTAATACCGTGGGCTTCTATTTTGCTGACAAGTTTCTTATTTTTCATGCATAGGTTCATAGAATGTTACGGCACAGAAGGAGGCCATTCAGACCATCGAGTCGGTGCGGCTCTTTGACAGAGCGTCACTTTCACTAACCCCAATCACCAGCTTTCTCCCCATAACCCTGCAAACCCGTCTTCCCCGATACCTGTCCAGTTCTCTCTTAAAAGCTGTTATCGAATCGAACTTCACTGCCCTTTCAGGCAGATCATTCCAAATTCCAACAACTCGCTGAGTGAAAACATTTCTTCTAACCTCCCCTCTGCTTCTTTTGGTAGATATCTTAAGACTGTGACCACGGGTCACAGACACACCTACCAGCGGAAACAGCTTTTCCTTATCTCGCCTGTCGAAACCTTTCATGATCTTGAAGACCTCTATCAGGTCCCGCGTAACCTTCTCTGCTCTAATGGGAAAAGTCCTAACTTCTCCAGCCTGTCCTCATAGCTAAGGTTCCCCATTCCTGGTATCATTCTCGTGAATCTCCTCTGCACCCTTTCCAGTGCCTTAATGTCCTTCCTGAGGTAAGGTGCCCAGAACTGGACGCAGTACTCCAGCTGAGGCCTAACCAGTGTTTTGTATAGATTAACCATAACCTCCCTACTCTTATACTCTATGCCCCTACTAATAAAGCTCAGTACACCAAATGCCTTTTTTACTGCCTTATCTACCTGCCCCGCTACCTTTAATGATTCGCTTACTTGAACACCCAGATCTCTCTGTACGTTCACCCCCCTTAAGATTGAGCTACCAAGTCTATATTGCCTCCTATCATTTTTCCTACCTAAGTGTATCACCTCACACTTATCCACATTGAAATCCATCTGCCACATGTCAGCCCATTCCACCATGCTGTGTATGTCTGCTTGCAGTTGGTTACAGTCCTCTTCACTATTTACTACCCTACCTAACTTTGTATCATCTGCAAACTTGGAAATAGTGCTCTCTATGCCCAAGTCCAGATCATTAATATATATTAGAAAGAGCAGTGGTCCCAATACCGATCCCTGGGGGACACCGCTGCACACCTCCTTCCATTTCGAGAAACACCCATTAACCACCACCCTCTGCTTTCTGTCACTCAGTCAGTTCTTAATCCAAACTGCCACTGTCCCCTTAATACTGTGGGCCTCTAATTTTTTTATTAATCTCTTATGCGGTACTGTGTCAAAAGCCTTTTTGAAATCCATGTAAATAATGTCCACCGCATTTCCCTCATCAACCCTCGCAGTCACCTCTTCAAAAAATTCTATTAGATTTGTTAGGCAAGATTTGCCTTTAACAAATCCATGTTGGGGGTCTCTAATTACCTCATGTTCCTCTAAGTAGAGATTTATTCTGTCCCGGATTATGGTCTCCATTAGTTTTCCTGTTACCGAAGTTAGGCCTGTAATTTCCGGGCTTGTCTTTCTGCCCCTTTTTGTAGAGGGGGTAACATTAGCCACTCTCCAGTCTCTTGGCACCACTCCTGTGTCCAATGAAGATTGAAATATAATGGCCAAAGCCTCCGCTATTTGAACCCGTATCTCCCACAGCAACCTTGGGTGAAACCCATCTGGTCCTGGTGACTTATCAATTTTGAGCCCAGTCAATCTTTTCAGAACTTCCTCTCTGTCTATAGTAATCTGATCTATTTCCTCTACCCTCTCATCCAATACTGCGGCATTTGGGGCATCCATTTCCGTTGTGAAGACAGATGCAAAGTACTCGTTCAGTACATCAGCCACGCCCTCTGCCTCCACAACAAGATTGCCGTCATTGTCTTTGATTGGCCCCACCCTACCTTTAACTAACCTTTTTTCCTTTATGAGCTTGTAAAATATTTTACGATTCCCCTTTATGTTACCCGCTAACCTCTTGCGATCTTTTTGCCTGTCTTATCACTCTTTTAAGATCACTCCTGCATTCTCTATAATGCGCTTTGCTATCCTCAGTATCTTGCGTCTTCCAATTGTCGTACACCGTCTTCTTCTTTTTCATCCTAGACAGAAGATCCCTGGTCATCCAGGCTGGCTTGGTTGTCGTACATTTCCCTTTTGTGGGAATATATCTATTTAGACCTTGAGCTATCATATATTTGAAGATCTCCCATTGCTCATGAGTCGTTTTACCTGCTTGTCTTACTTGCCAGTCCACCAACTCTAGGTCCCTTTTTAGCCCATCAAAATTAGCCCTTTTCCAGTCAAGCATTTTCACCCTTGACTGTACTTTGTCCCTGTTCATGAGTAATCTAAATCTAAAATATTGTGGTCACTGTTACCTAGATGCACCCCTACCGAAACCTGTTCAATCTGACCTATTTCATTCCCCAGGGCAAGATCCAGCAATGCTTCCGTCCTCGCAATTTTATCAAACACCTTTTCAAAATCCATATAAACTGCATCAACTGCTCTCCCTAGCTTCTGATACTCCCCCTGTAGGATCTCAGCCCTTTTTTCCCTACATCATGGATCCCACAACTTCTGATGTTCTCCTTCCCCCTGTAGAATGTTTTGCACCCATTCTGTGATATCTTCAACCCTGGCACCCGGGAGGCAACATACCATGCGTCTTTGGTTGCAGAAATACCGGTCTACTCCCTTCACCAAGCATCCTGGAGGTCCCACATGGCACACATCATGCATGCAACCGGTCTCGGCTACCTTGCCATATTCCCAGACATGTTTTATATTAATATAACTTATATATTTTATAATTATGCACCTCTTTCCCTCTTTACACTGAATTTCCACTCTCACCAAATTCCTTAACTGAATTCTCACTCTGTTCTACCTCACTCAGTTCCCTCCTCACGCTGCTGGGCTCTCTGCTTATGAATATATGAATATATGTCCTGTAGCTCAGTGGTTAGAGCACTCGCTTTGCAAGTGAGAGACCTGGGTTCAATTCCAGGCAGGGTGAAACCTTGGGCAAGTTTCCTTACTCCACACGCCTAATAATAAACCCTCCAAAACAAAAACAATAATAAATTGGTCATTTTCAATCTACGACTGTTTGTGGGACATTGCTGTGCGCAATTGGCTGCCGCGTTCGCCCACAAATATACAGTCAATTCACTTTACAGTGTGTTCTGTGAAGCGCTTTGGGACGTCCTCCCGACGTGAAAAGCGCTATATCAAATGCAAGGATTATTATTATTATTATGTTGAACTTGATGTTGGCCTAGCTACAGTTACAGTATTGCGTATTTTGGCACTCAATTCTAGGAAAGCTGTAAAAGCTACGGAGTAGGTTCAGTGCGGCCTCACAGCCATATTATCAGGGATAATAATAATCCTTGCATTTGATATAGCACCTTATCATGTCTTTGAGACGTCTCAAAGAGCTTCACAGAATACTGTAATGTGAATTGACTGTATATTTTGTGGATGAAATGCAACAGCGAATTGCTCTCAGCAGTGTCCCACAAACAGACGTGGATTGAAGTGACCAATGTATTTTTTTTAAGGAATTATTACCCCCGGAAAAACGATCCACCAATCGACTAACAACCAGGTTCCTACTTACTGCTAGGTAAACAGGCATATGGAGTAAGGAAACTTGCCCAACATTTTGCCTTGTCAGGAATCGAACCCAGCTCTCTCTCCCGCTTGCGAGGCGAATGCTCTAACCACTGAGCTGCAGGACTCCACAATGAGGGATGAGGGTTTTCTCTTGAAAATAAACTTTGTTATGGGTTTTTATGCAATAATAATAATAATCCTTGCATTTGATATAGCGCTTTTCACGTCGGGAGGACGTCCCAAAGCACTTCACAGAACACACTGTAAAGTGAATTGGCTGTATAGTTGTGGGCGAACGCGGCAGCCAATTGTGCACAGCAATGTCCCACAAACAGTTGTAGATTGAAAATGAACAATTGATTATTGTTTGTGGTTTTGGAGGGATTATTATTAGGCTCTGTGTGGAGTAAGGCAACTTGCCCAAGGTTTGGCCCTCTGCCTGGAATTGAACTCGGGTCTCTCACTTGCAAAGCGAGTGCTCTAACCACTGAGCTACAGCACTCCTTGGCCTGCAATTACCTGCTAAGTGAAGTGGATGTGAAGTGGTGGATCTTTGGTATTGTATTGTGCAAAGCGTCTCAGTGTTTGACATCTGTAGAGCAAACCAATCTTAGTGCGGCTCAGAAAACAGAATAAGGAAAATCAAGCAGAAAAACAACTTTAGAATGGGCCTAAAAGAACTTTAACAAATTCTCTCCATTTATCCTGTTCAGAGTTCATTGTCTCAGTCAGAGGAATTTGCTGCTACTTACCAACTGTTGCAGGAGCGTCTGTCTGCGGTCAAAGTACAGCTAATGGCAAACAGGAAATTACAGCCAAGTCTTGAAACCAAAAGACAGCAGGTTGAACAGCTTCAGGTAATCGTGAGTCAAATAAGACTATGATGCTGTTAGAGCTAGCCAATAAATCATCAATCTCTGCAAGATTTCTATGAGTGAAAGGGATTCTTTGAATTCCAGTGCAAACTTTCCAACTCAGCTCAATTGCTCAAGCTGTTCATTGTATAACAGAGTTTGCGTAAGTATCTCAATCCATTTGGCACAAGCACTCAAAAAAAATTTCCAACTTTTTTCCATAGATTTGCACTAACTTGGTTACATCAGAGCTGCTATTGTGAGTGTGATATGGGAGCACTCGTCTGGGATTCAAGTGAAATATTGGGATGTAGGGCAAGATGTAAGCTGCAACCTGGAAATGTTGGACAAAAATTTAGAGGGAGCTTTATTCTGTCTCTATTTTCTATAATCTAAGTGTCTTGGAACATCCTCCCGATATAAATACAAATTTGTATTGTAGTGCAATGTAATATGCATAGAATAGGGCAAACAGGGAGTGGGGATAAATGGGTCCTTCTCAGATTGGCAGGTTGTGACGAGTGGAGTGCCGCAAGGATCAGTGCTTGGGCCTCAGCTGTTTACAGTCTATATCAACAACTTAGATGAGGAAATAGAGCTTAATGTATCTAAATTCACAGATGATACAAAGCTCGGTGGGAAAGTAAGCTGTGAGGAGGACGCAAGGAGGATGCAGAGAGATATAGACAAGTTAAATGAAGAAGGTGGCAGATGAGTATAATCTAGGGAAGTGTGAAGTTATTCACCTAGGTAGAAAAGAAGAAAAGCAGATTATTATTATTTTCGAGAGTGGAGGGACGAGGTAGTGTTAGTATTCAGAGGGTTTTGGGTGTCCTTGTACACCAATCACAGAAAGATAGTATGCAAGTACAGCAAGCAATTAGATAGAAAGGCTAATAGCATGTTAGCGTTTGTTGCAAAGGGGTTAGAATACAAGAGTAGGGAAGTCTTGCTGCAATTGTATAAGGCATTGGTGAGGCCGCACCTAGAATATTGTCTGCAGTTTTGGTCTCCTTACCTAAGAAAGGATATACTCGCCTTAGAGGGGGTGCAACGTAGGTTCACTAAGTTGGTTCCTGGGATGAGGCGGTTGAGCTATGAGGAGAGGTTGAGTAGACTAAGCCTATATTCTCTAGAATATAGAAGAATTAAAGGTGATCTTATAGAAACCTATAAGATTCTTAAGGGTCTTGACAGGGTAGATAGTGTGAAACTGTTTCCCTTGGTTGGAGAATCTAAAACTAGGGCCATAGTCTCAGAATTAATGGTCAGCCTTTTAGAACTGAGTTGAGAAAAGATTTCTTCACTCAGAGGATAGTGAATTTATGGAATTCTTTCCCCAAAGGCTCAGTCCTTGAAGATATTCAAGATTGAGATCGATAGATTTTTAAAAAAAAACTAAAAGGATTAAGGGATATGGGGATAGGGCGGCTAAATGGAATTAGGTTAGAAGATCAGTCATGATCTTATTAAATGGTGGGGCAGGCTCGAGGGGCCGAATGGCCTACTCCTGCTCCTATTTGTTATGTTTTTATGCATGAAGAAACTTAGCTTATTTTTTCTTCATCACTTCCAGAACATTGTCTGCCTTCGCCACTAGCTCTCCCCAAGGCTGCAGAGACCACTTATCAAGTGCAGCCTTGACTATTCCCATCTTCTCCCTGCACATGCTACAGACTATCCATAGCTCTGCAGCACATGTCCTCACTTGCACAAGCCTATCACCTCCATCCTTGCTTGGCTCCACTAGCTCCCCATTCCCCAGCTGATCCTCACGTTCAAATTCCTCCATAGCCTTGTCCCACCCTCTCTGTGACCTTCTGCAAGTCTACCGATCTGGCTGCTCCTTTTGCTCAGCAAACACTGGCCTCTTCACGTCCCCTGCCCTATCTTCCCACCATCAGTGAGCAAGCTATCATCTCTGTAAAGTGCTTTCAGATGTCCCCAAAATGAAAGAAGCTATACAAATGTAAATGGCTTTGTAATTCAAATTGTAATTGCAAAGCTCATCCCTCCAACATCAGGCTCATTCTCACTACTCTCTGCTGAGGCCGGAAATCCTACTGAAACATTAACAGTAAAATATTGTGAAAGGCTGGATAATTATCAGATACATTCTCTAATTATAGTTAAACTCTCTGAACCTAAATTGTAACTACAAGGAGGACATTTTACACGCTCTTAGATGATTGTGCTGTAAAGATTATCAATTGTCTGTTTAGCAGCAGTCAGTAAATCTTTACCCAAGCAGAACGTTTGTTAGACAGGACAGATGAATCTATGAAATTATTACAATTTTAGTATCATTTTGCTCCAGTTACTTAGATCCAGTTGAAATCAGAGCTTGGTTATCTGTATTAAATGCATTCTAGTTTGAGAATAATTTAGCATGTATTTGTGTCTGGATTTTTTGTTACAGTTCATTAAGAGGGTTTTGTTGGAGGTTGAAGCTGAAGTAAATAATCTGCACACTTCATTGGCTTCAAGCCCATTTCGTTGCCAGATTCTTGCCACAAGCCGTTCATTAAGCAAATCTCTTCAGGTATGCTCAGTGTGTAAAGATAAGTCATCCCTTTGGTATCAGTTCATTCCCGGAATTACTTCACAAAACACACAAGTCACTGAACTTCACAGAAAAATCCTGGGAAGCACTTTGAGACGTCCTCCTGACATCACTTATTATGCATTGCTGCTTTGGCTCAATTTTGGTCCTTTATATTCTCCTAATTTTATCCTAATTCATAATTCAGACAATTTGTAATAAAGTGGATACAATGCAATTTACAACAACAGTTTGCATTTATATAGCGCCCGTCATGCGGAGGGTTCATAGTGATGGACTCTGACACTGAGCCACGGGGAGAGGTAGGGGGGAGTTGACCGTAAGAACAATCAGAACAGTTTACATTTATATTGTGCCTTTCAAGAGGGGAGGACATCTCAAAATGCTTAAATGTTTATCACATGGAGTTTGGCCAGATGTGTGGGAGGAAGATATAATAATAGATATCTCACAAAGGGAGGGTATCGCAGGAGTCACATATGTACTTCACAGCCCGGATGAAGGCTTTCAACCTTTATTATAACTTCACTTATAATGCCTTTCGCATAGAAAGAGCATCTCTAAGAACTTATAAATGGAGCAGGAAATGGTTGAAAAGATGTATTTCTAAGAGGGTCAGGCTGGGACAGGGTCAGGCTGGATAGAGCTGGTCTGGAGAATTGTAAATGTTGAATATTTAAGTTTAAAAGTTAAGATCTGTAGAGAAAGATTGTTTTTGCTGTTAGTTTGTTCAGGCTCACCTAAATACATAATAATAATGTTTCTGCAACTAACCAGTGCCTGAAAACTTTTGTTTTGTGATTTGCTTGTTTTTCAGACATCACTTGGAACAAGTGAGCAGATAGTGATGGAGCATCAGCTGTATCTCGAGAACCTCTCTATTCTCCAGCACTGGCTGCTGTGTATCCAGCGCAGACTGCAATCCCACAGTCACAGCAGCCAAGATCTGCAGTGGTGGAGCAGCGAAGCTGAGGTGTGGTTTATACAATAAAAATAGACCAGATTATTGTTTAATAACTTGCTAATACATGACTTGTTTAATAACTATATAAATGACCTGGACTTGGGTATACGGAGTACAATTTCCAGGTTTGCAGATGATACTAAGCGAGGAAAAGTAGTAAACATGAGGAGGATAATAGCAGGAGGACATAGACAGACTGGGAAAATGGGCAGACACGTGGCAGATGAAGTTTAATGTGAAAAAATGCAAAGTGCTGCATTTTGGGAGGAAGAATGAGGAGAAGCAATATAAGCTGATGGTACAATCTTAAAGGGGGTGAAGGGACAGAGAGACCTGGGGGTTCATATAGTAAATCTTTGAAGGTGGCAGGACAGGTAGATAAAGCTGCTTAAAAAAAAAGCATACAGGATACACGGCTTTATAAATAGGGGCATAGAATGCAACAGTCAGGAAGTTATGATGAACCTTTATATAAAACACTGGTTAGGCCTCAGCTCGAGACTGTGTTCAGTTCTGGGCCCCACACGTTAGGAAGGATGTCAAGGCATTGGAGAGGGTGCAAAGGAGATTGACCAGAATGGTACCAGGAATGAGGGACTTCAGTTATCAGGAGAGGCTCGAGAAGCTCGGATTATTCTCCTTGGAGCAGAGAAGGTTAAGAGGAGACTTGATAGAAGTTTTCAAAATGAGGCGATTCACTAGGGTGAACAAGGAGAAACTATTTCCACTGACGGGTGGGTCGGTAACCCGAGGGCACCGAGTTAAAGTAGTTGTTAAAAGAAATGGAATGTGAGGAGAAATGTTTTCATACAGTGAGTTGTTGGGATCTGGAATGCATTGCCTGAAAGGCTGGTGGAAGCCGATTCCATAAGAACTTTTAAGAGAGAAGTAGATAATTATTTGGGGAGGACAAGTTTCCAGGGCTATGAGGAGAGAGTGGGGGAGTAGGATTGATTTGGATGATCTTTTAAGAGAGCCAGCACAGACACAATGGGCTGAATGGCCTCGTTCTGTGCTGTATAATTATGTGATTCTAACTTGCTAACTTCTTCATAATTTTTAAGATCTAAGTATGATAGCAACACAGGTAAAGGTAGAATTGTTGTTCTCTGTGAAGTGAAAGTCTCCTGAATGTCCACACCTACAGAACGTGTCTATCCTGTTTCCCTGGAGCTTACAGTTATTACACTGGAGTTGGGAGGAGGAATGTCACCTACAATTAGAAGGAACAACAATAATAATTCTTGCATTTGATATCCCGTCTTAATTTTATCACGTCTTCGAGACGTCTCAAAGCGCTTCACAGAATATCCTGTAAAGTGAATTGACTGCATATTTTGTGGGCGAATGAGGCAGAGTAGGAGAGTCCACTGGGGTAGGAAAGGGAAACTCATTAACCTTGCTGGGGAGATTTGTTCAGACGGGTGTCAAGTATGCAGAAACTCATCACCTTTCTCAAGAATATCCATAATGGACAGAATTCCAAATCTGCCTTGTGTCTGGAATACACACTCAGAATAACTCCCCCTGCCTATCCAAATCCAGAGAGTATTAGGCACAAATTGGTAAGATCCAAGGTTTCAGAATCCCTGAGTTTGGGATTAACTTCTGGAGTTTAATCAGCTAAAACCTTGCCTCTGGCTCCCTCAAGAAAACGCCTCGGTTGCTTGTTCAAGCTTATTCGGCTTGACCCCAATTTGTCAGAGTACAAAGGGAGATTCAATACTTAATTCCTTGTTAAAAATGTCATCTTGGTGCCAGCTCACCCCAAGTAAAATAATCAACACATGATCACAGGATAAAGTGAGTTGAGTCGGGGTGAAAGAACTGTTGCTTATACCACGCCGAATTAGATGCTGGTTTTAGCTGTTAATTCATTTGAATTGCTCTTTAATCAGTTACTAACAGCAGAGCTTACAGAGAAGGAGATTCAGCTCCATCAGATTGAAGTCCAGGCAGAGACGGTTTTGAAAAATACCTCTCCTGATGGAAGAAAATATATTCAGGATGAAGTTGAACATCTGCAGAGAATGTGGACAGAACTGAACAAACACTTCAGGTATACTCTCTCTCCCTTCTCTCTCTCTCTTATTGTTTCCTTATTTTAATTCTCTCTCATTTTGTTTGTCTGGCACAATTCCAAATTGTTCATTTGTAGATCAAATAGGATTAGGATTTTAGTGCAGTTTCACTAAACCATTCCTAGAATGAAACTAGAACAGTCCAGCAGATTTTCTGCTGCCGCAACTGGCATCAATTACAGGACAACTTATTTTTTTAAGTTATATCAAAGCATTTAACAAATAGAAACCAGATACAATCAAAGAAATTGTAAAAAAAATTGTAAAGATGTTGTTTCCTAATGAAGGAAATTGTACATTTTTATTTCCATTCCACTCTTCCTGTTTTAGCGAGCAACACAACGAAGCTCACTGACAGCAGTAACACAAGAGACATGGAAACTTATGGAACAGGCTATAAATGATCTGGAAGGCCTCCTCCTGTTCCTGTTTTCCTATGGTTTCAGGTGACGAAAGGGAGATGAGGGTTTCGGCTGTGGCGGGGATAGGTCGTGGTGGAACTCTACTTTTCCTCTTCTACCCTCAACTCCATGACCCCTGATGTCCTGACAGCTGCCTGTCTGACATCAAGTCCTGGACGAGAGACAACTTTCTTCAGCTCAATGTGCACAAAACTGAGGCCCTCCTGATTGGCTCACTTCAGCGCCTTCACACCTCAGGCGCTGACAGCATCAGCATCCAATAATAATAATAATCCTTGAATTTGATATAGCGCTTTTCACGTCGGGAGGACGTCCCAAAGCGCTTCAGAGAATACACTGTAAAGTGAATTGACTGTATATTTGTGGGCGAACGCGGCAGCCAATTGCGCACAGCAATGTCCCACAAACAGTCGTAGATTGAAAATGACCAATTTTATTATTGTTTTTGGAGGCGTGTGGAGTAAGGAAACTTGCCCAAGGTTTGGCCCTGCCTGGAATTGAACTCAGATCTCTCGCTTGCAAAGCGAGTGCTCTAACCACTGAGCTTCAGGACTCCACGATGATCCAAGGCTGCACTCTCCACCTCTCAAAGCCAGCCAGGATCCTCGGCTTTCTGTTCAATCCTGAGCTGTCCTTTCTCCCTTATATCCGCGCCACAACTGGCACCGCCTTCCATCACCTCCGAAACATCGCCAGACTACGGCACTACCTCACCCCTCACGCGGCTGAAACACTGGTCCTTTCCTTTATCACCTCAAGGCTGGACTATGGGAACTCTCTCTTCGCCGGCCTTTCCGGCCCTCCCTCCACACTGCAGGTCATTTAGAACTCTGCAGCTCGTGTACTGTCCCGCACCAGGCTTCGCGACCACATCACTCCCACCCTCGCCCTCGCTCGCCTCCACTGGCTCCCCATCCTCCAGTGGATCAAATTCAAGATCCTCACCTCCAAGGCCATTCACGGCCTTGCTCCCTCCTACCTCTCCAACCTACTATCCCCCTACTTACCTGCCCGTACCCTCCATTCCTCTGGCTCCGGTCTGCTCCACATCCCCCGCCCCAACCATCGGTGGCCGGGCCTTCAGCCTCTCAGCCCCAAGGCTCTGGAACTCCATCCCCCAGTGCCTTTGTCTTGCTTCCTCCCTTTCCTCCTTCAAGGCCGGTCTCAAGACCTTTCTCTTTGACTGTGCCTTTAGCTCCCCTCTCGACTCTACCGCCTCCTCGCTCCCTCCTTCCCTCCCCTCACCCTGACCATTTCCCCCCAATGCTCGGGTCCTGACCCAACTGTACAGCGCTTTGGGACGTCCTCCAGACGTGAAAGGCGCTCTATAAATAAAATCTTGTTGTTATTGTTGAAGTAAGGGGTATTGTGGAGGAAAGCAGACTTGATAAAATCCCAGTTGGAAAGTTTAATTGTATCATCCTAGTGAAACCCTCCTCTGTACTCTTTCCATCTGTGCAATACCCTTTTTATAATGTGGAGACCAGAACTGGACAAAACCTCCAAATATAGTGCAAACAAAGTTTTGTACAAATTCAACATGGCCTCACTTCTCTGCTTTGTCCCTCTGGGTATAAAAAGTCCCAAATTTTATTGGCCTTATCTTTGCCTTTTCTACCCCTGTAGCTACTTTCAGTGATTTGTGGATCTGAATCCTAAGATCTCTTTGCTCCTCTGCTCTCAGGTTCCTTCCATCTAAACCAGGAAGGTCCAGCCTTTTGGCTGCCCTGGGCCGCATTCCCTATTAAGAAAGGTACATGGACCTCATCCAGCGTGGGCTAGCTGGCGGCCCGCGGGCCACATCTGGCCTGAGACTATTTCCAACATTCCAACCCACTCCCCCGCTGGTGAACATCCCAAGGCAGCGGTTGAGAGAGGGGGGGGGAGCCCAGAGGTGGGGGGGGGGGGGAGCCCAGAGGGGGGGAGCCCAGAGTGGGGGGGAGCCAGAGGGGGGGGGGAGCCCCCGGAAATCGACTAACAACTGGGTTCCTACTTTACTGCTGGGTAAACAGAAGCGTGCGGAGTAAGGAAATCTGCCCAAGATTTCGCCCAGCCGGGAATCAATCGCAGGTCTCTCACTTGCGAGGCGAGTTCTCTAACCTTGTTGAGGGCTGGCCTATGGAAATCAGACTGGAGGGGCTGGAGTAGTGAGTGGAGGGAGATGTATGAGTGAAGTTTGGTGGGAACAGCACATTCCAGGACTTTAGAGATGGACAAATCAGGTGAAAGCCAATTCAACATGTTTATTTTACAAGAAGGTGCTATGTAAGTACTCGCTGTGGAGACTTTCATTGTCAAGTACTCACACATGTATGTCACTGTTTCTGCAGAGCTTCACATAACACCAATGTCACCAGAAGCACCTCTAAGGTGGGAGAAAAAGCCAGTGAGTTTGTCGTGAAGGTAAGTGAAAGTTCCTTCAATAATTCAATAAAACAAATTGAAAACCCGACATTGAGCAGAAAGAGAAAATTAAAGCAACAATTGTCAGTGAATCTTCATGGTGTCCCGAGCTCTGGGGTAAATCTAAAGTTTGTGGCTATTGAAAGTTGTGTCAAATAGGTGTTTCATGTGGTTTCTTGCGTCTTGTCTTCTTAGTAACCTACTTGCTTGAGGGTTGGAACTGAGAGTGAAAAGTTCTGAATTTGAACCCAGATGGGTCCTCTCACTCTTCAATCTTGGATAATAAAATGAGTTTTATGAATCCAACAAGAGAGGGAGGAGAGGTAAAAGGGAATAAACCTTGTGGATAATTGAACTGATTGTGAGGAGTTTACAGGGAGCTCCACAATAATCCAAGAAATTGTTGATGGATGGCAATCCCAGGAATCCTGGGATGGAATCCTGATCCCAAATGATAATAGTGCTTCCCAAATCCTGGGATTTATAGAGATCTATATTAGAAAAAACAGCAGCAAAGTCACTTTCTGTTTGCCATTACATTTTGTTTGTCTCTCTCGCGCTCTCTCTCTCTTGTCTGCCATCCACAACTACTGTACCGCCCCACACACACAAATGTCTCAGTAGTTTCTTTCTGTTGATTTTATGTTCATCTATTTCACTGTCTGTTTCATTTCTCACTTTCTGTCAATCTCCTGTCTGTCTCTCTCTCTCTGTAATTGATGTTCCTTCTCCCTCACTTATGTGTACCAATGACCCTCGTTCAGTTTCTTTGTAAATGTGCATCTATCTCTATCGCGTATGGATCTAGCTCTTCCCCCTTCATTTGTGCCATTAACTGTCTTTCAGTCCTTCTGGTTTATATCCCTCTCTCTCTCAGTATAATAATAATAATCCTTGCATTTGATATAGCGCTTTTCATGTTGGGAAGACGTCCCAAAGCGCTTCACAGAACACACTGTAAAGTGAATTAACTGTATATTGGTGGGCGAATGCGGCAGCCAATTGCGCACAGCAATGTCCCACAAACAGTCGTAGATTGAAAATGACCATTTTATTATTGTTTTGAGTTTTTGGAGGAATTATTATTAGGAGTATCTGGATGTGCCACTTTTTCTCTCTTGTCAATAAATCTGTCCATCATTAAGCCCCCCCTCTCCCTGTCTCAGTCGGTGTCTTGTTGTCAGGCCACTGTGCTGAAGTCGAGGGAAGTGAGTCAGTGACTGGCTGGGTGACATGTCGCTGCGCAGGGCAGTCAGAGTCAGTGTTCTTAGCTGAAGCGAGATTTAGCATCTTGGGATCCCAGGGTTTGGGGCAATAAAATCCCGACATCTTGGGATTCAGAAAAAGTACCAGGATTGCAATCCCTATTGATGGGTGACCAGCAGGATATTTTGTGTAACCTCGAGAACTACCAAGGAATCTCAGTAATTTCCGTGGCTGTTCAAATCGTCACAGTCTGTACTTCAGATACATGGAGACCTGAGTTTGGTCAGAAACAAAAAGGTTGGATTCTGTTTTCATGAGGAATGTGTGAAACATTGTGGCTTTGAGTGAGATTGTGGAATGTCATAAAGCATTGGCACATGTAAGAGAGGGAGAAAGAACGTCAATTACAGAGAGAGAGAGACAGACAGGAGATTGACAAAAACCCAGCTACATTGTGATCATCATTTCCATCGGTTAAAAAAGCATCCGGGATACACGGCTTTATAAATAGGGGCATACAATATAACAGTCAAGAAGTTATGAAGAGCCTTTATATAAACCACTGGTTAGGCCTCAGCTAGAGACTGTGTTCAGTTCTGGGCCCCACACGTTAGGAAGGATGCCAAGGCATTGGAGACGGTGCAAAGGAGTTGACCAGAATGGTACCAGGAATGAGGGACTTCAGTTATCAGGAGAGGCTCGAGAAGCTTGGATTATTCTCTTTGGAGCAGAGAAGGTTAAGAGGAGACTTGATAGAAGTTTTCAAAATGACGAGGGGATTCGATCGCGTGAACAAGAAGAAACTATTCCCACTGGTGGGTGGGTCGGTAACCCGAGGACACCCGAGTTAAAATAGTTGTTAAAAGAAACAGAGGGGAGGTGAGGAGAAATATTTTCACACAACCAGTTGTTGGGATCTGGAATCATTGCCTGAAAGGCTGGTGGAAGCTGATTCAATAACAACTTTTAAGAGAGAAGCAGATAATTAGTTAGGGAGGACAAGTTTGCAGAGCTATGGGGAGAGAGCAGGGGAGTGGGGTTGAATTGGAAGCTCTTTTCAAAGAGCTGACACAGAAACAATGGACTGAATAGCCTCCTTCTGTGCTGTATGATTCTATGAAGTCTTTAGGTTTCTCACAACATTACACAAATGGCTGGGCAGCCAAGCCCTGGGGGGATGACTGAAAGCACAGTCGAAGAGGTACGTTCTTGAGGTAGGGTGGAGGGAGGCAGGAGTGAGTTGGAGGGACTCTGGGATGGAGTTCCAAAGCTCAGCCACCAGTGGTGGAGTGGAAAAGGTGGGGAACATGAAGCTGAGCAGAGGGAGCAGCCAAGTGGTAAAGGGTTGTAGGAGACTGTCAACCTCGTCCCCTTCCTTGGGTTATAAGTTCGATGTTGAACAACAGATGTACTCAAAACATAGAGTATAGGAATCAAAGTTTATTACAAAGTATAGGTGATAGTCTACACAATTGTAAGGGTAACATCAGGATTCTCTGACTGTTCTGCTCCCACCATTCTAGAAAACGCCCTCCTGTACACGACACTAATTTACTAGAAAAACCTGAGAACCTAATGATCTCATCCCTTTAAGTTATGGAAGTTACTGTTGTCAATGTCTAGACTTTTTGCCATGGACATCTTTATCTCTCCTTTGAGCTTTGTTGTCAAGGATGTTAGTTTCTTTACTACAACAACAAATTAAATTTGTATAGCGCCTTTCACATCAGGAGGACATCCCTACATTTGATGTTAGCTTCTCGACCTTCACACTTTATGAAGTACTGTAGCTCAGTGGTTAGAGCACTCGCTTTGCAAGTGAGAGACCTGAGTTCAATTCCAGGCAGAGGGCGAAACCTTGGGCAAGTTTCCTTACTCCACACAGAGCCTAACAATAATCCCTCCAAAACCAAAACAATAATAAATTGGTCATTTTCAATCTACGACTGTTTATGGGACATTCCTGTGCGCAATTGGCTGCCGCGTTCGCCCACAAATATACAGTCAATTCACTTTACAGTGTGTTCTGTGAAGCGCTTTGGGACGTCCTCCCAACGTGAAAAGCGCTATATCAAATGCAAGGGTTATTATTATTATTACACATTCCTGTGGCAACAGATTCCTGCTGGTCACTAGAATGGTTCAATAATAGTAACATTATTAAATGTTCCCCACCCTTTCTGCTCCACCATTGGTGTGACCACTGTGTGGTCCTCTGGTTTTCTGTGTCTGTTACTGTGGTTAACTGTTGCAGTGCAGATGTGAGGCTATTATTACAATTATCTGTTTTGTATTCTCCAAGTTCAGCAATTCTTATTGCAAAAAAATTAATCAATTAAAAATAATCGTTGATATTATCTGACAAAAACCAGAAAAAGCAAGGAAGAAGGGGAGCTCCAGGGTGGCAGCCAGGTGCTGGGATCACACACCACACTCTCCCTTCTGCGTCAGAAGTTTGTGGGTGAACTCACATAGTCGATGCAGACTCTGCAATGAAGTGCTGGGAGGATGTTTGCTTGTTGGAAGTGGATGTTAAAGTTCAAAAAAGAGAAAGGAGTTTCTCTCTCTCTCCCAGGGTCCTGGCAAGCAATCCCCCAAATAAAACTGCTCATTCAATTCATGACTGTTTGTGGGTTGTTGCTGTAGGCAAATTTAGTTGCTGTGTTCACCAGACAGAGAATAGAGATGCTTGCTTTTTAGACAGCAATGCTGCATATACTTGTTAGTACTCGTTTCAAGGTTGGCATTTGCCGACTCTTAGATTGTTACACTGTTAATATCCCATTAACTTTCTGACAGGTGAAAGGCCAAGTTCGAAATGATTATCATCAGCTAAGAAAAATGTTTGAAGAGTGGTTGAAAACTGAAAATCGAAAGCTGATGAGATTTTTATCTGGCAACATTTCCCAGAGCACTAAAGAGATCAAAAGCAAAAAGCAAGGTCTGAAGGTAATTTGTCACACATCTAATGGAAAGTACGTTATTCAGCTGGTAATTCCAGCATTTTAAGTGTGGCTGAGGTATGAAATCTGTTGTTACTAGCATTGTAGGAATGAGAGTAACTTCTTTCTACTCATAAAGCAAGCATGCATCACTCAACCCCCTGTGTCTCTCCCATCACAGACACGCACACCTACCCACTCACAAACACACGTTTTACCCATTTTGCCTCTGCTAAACACCTCCAATCCTACATTATTCTGTCTAAATATTTAACGAAAAATAGTAATGGTAACCAGGCATCTTACAATCAGTGACTGCGGGCGTGAGTGGGTGTGCGCGGTGACTGCGGGCGCGGTGACTGCGGGCGCGGTGTGAAGTCGTTGATGTCTCTGAAACAATTGTGACATTTTTACAGAGTCTGCGATCTCGTGTCACTCAGGGTCAGAAGCTGTTTGAGCAGCTCATTGACGTGGCGCCAGTGTTTTCCAACACTGAGGATAAGCAGCTGGAGGATCTGCGGTACCGGTGGATGTTGTATAAATCCAAACTGTCCACAGCTGAAGCTTTCACGGTAAGCATTGCATTCAGTCTCATCTGCAACACAGAGGCTTCCCCATATCCTTCAGTCTGTGGTTGTAATGGGATTGCCTTCAGGAAAAGGGAGTTAGTTATGTTTTAGAAATTAATATAGAAGATTTTTAAAAGAATATAATAATCCTTGCCTTTGATCCAGCACCTTTCACATCGGCAGGAATTCACTTTACAAGATTTGCTGAAAAGTGCAGTGACTATTTTTGTAGGTGAAAGTAAGAGTATCTTATTTTGCCTACAAAGCATACAGTGAGTAAATCCTGTGAAGCGTTTGGGATGTCCTCCTGACCTCTCAAATGCAATGATTATTGTTATTTGTTGAGGGGGAGGGTTTGGCCAACCAGCTGTTTGACACGACACTTGCAGAAACTTATCACCTTATGATGCAAGTTTCCCCTGTGAGGGAATGGAATGTGGACACTCCCTGGAGGGGTGCCCTCTGCTTACCTGATTCTGGAGAGTATTAGGTGTAGGTTAGCGACCACCAAGGTTGAGAGTCCCCAGAGTGTGTGTTGAGGTATTTATAAAGCAAAACAGCTTGCCTGTCAAATACTGTCTTTGAAGCTTTCCGCTGCTTGTTCAGCTGGGATTGCCCCTAACTTTATAGCATTAATTTTCAGGGTTAACAGGATCTGAATTGGAAGAATCTCTGCCCCCAGTGACCATATACCCTCTGTGTCCTGGTGATGAGCCAGGCTGGCCTTGTCTGTCATCAACTGTGCTTGGGATTATTACAACCTGGCTCAGGAAGTGATTACTTCGCTCACCGTTGATGAATGATTCCATTGCCCAGCGATCACCTTAGACACCTAGCTTAACTCCTCCACTAGTTGGGGATAATCTCTGATATTCATGATTGTTGTGTAAATTAAAATATTCCACATAACCAGGAATGGGGAACCTTAGCCATGAGGACAGGCTGGAGAAGTTAGGACTTTTCCCATTAGAGCAGAGAAGGTTATGCGGGGACCTGATAGAGGTCTTCAAGATCATGAAAAGTTTCGACAGGCGAGATAAGGAAAAGTTGTTTCTGCTGGTAGGTGTGTCTGTGACCCGTGGTCACAGTCTTAAGATATTTACCAAAAGAAGCAGAGGGGAGGTTAGAAGAAATGTTTTCACTCAGCGAGTTGTTGGAATTTGGAATGATCTGCCTGAAAGGGCAGTGAAGTCCGATTCGATAACAGCTTTTAAGAGAGAACTGGACAGGTATCTGGGGAAGACCAGTTTGCAGGGTTATGGGGAGAAAGCTGGTGATTGGGGTTAGTGAAAGTGACGCTCTGTCAAACAGTCGCACAGACTCGATGGGCCGAATGGCCTCCTTCTGTGCCGTAACATTCTATGAATCTATGAAAATAACATAAACCAGGCACTGTTCTCAATACTGATAACTTGTTATTACAGATCTCTGGTGGCCAAACTGAAGTAACTGGATTCAGAAAGGTAGTAACGTCAATTCTGATTATGTTTTTGCTTATTCCTTCTCCTCCATCTTAGGTTTGAGGCCTTGAGTCAACATATCCATAGAGAGACAGTTGGGATGTGGAACGTTCTACCAAGTAACATGGTAGACGGACTCCATTGTGGTTCCAAGAGGAAAGTAGACAGTGAAAGTTAGAGGCTTGAATGAGATTGATGCAGATTCAATGGGCAAAATGGAATCCAGCTATATATATATTGTGTCAATAAAACTCTTTCTAATTGTTAGTGTCTTCTCCAGCTAACAGTCCCAGATTGTGTCTTTCCTGATTGTCACAGTCTCCTGTGCTGTCAACCTTCTAGGTCACCAAACCATCTTTCTCCCAGCATATATTGTTTCCTTGTAGCTTTACATTAACTTTCCGATTCTGTTTGGTTAACTTTACTGTCTTCTTCTTACCCACTAAGAAAATACATTCTATCATTTAACGGCAGGGTTAAACATTCCCCTATTGTGTAGGTCTACCTGGGCATTGGCTAAATCTCCAATGTGTGACATTACTCTTTGTTTATTGATTGTTGTAAATTATAGTAAGTTGTTAAAACAATTCTAAATTGTTTTTCCTCTTTTATATCGTCTCAACAGTTTGCACCGATTAATTTCCCTTCTCTGGCACACATTTCCTTACAAACAGATACAACCACCTGCCAAAAGTGGTCATGTCACCTTCCCCCAACATGATTGTTATATCCCAACCTGTCCTGGCATATCACTTCAGAATATACCAACTGTGAATCTACAGTTTTTAAAAACCTGTGCCTACAACAAGTGAGGCTGAGCACCTGCAATAAGCGAAACAACCGCAACAGTCAGTGCAATTCTATGGCTCCTTCGTGCATGGTAGCATCTCCCAGCGTTAAACTGCAGCCCTTGCCTCGAAACTGTTCGATTCCTCTCTGCCTGGCTCAGCACCAAGCTCTGAGATGCTGTCCTGCTATATAAATGGAAGTTATTGCTGTATACCTACAGTACAGGTTTTTATTTAATTACAAAGAAAGGTATAGTTTTGTGCAATTGCCTTTTGAAATTTTGAAATGCTTAACTTAAGTAACATTTATTCCTGTGAATCAGTTTTATTATTGAAGCCAATAAGCTTTCATGGTTTCTTTACCTTCTGTGTTCTGATGTTTTTTGCAGAAATCTTCTGGAGGAATGTGTCGCTACCTGTACCGAGCATGTTGTGCCGCACTCCCTCTCCAGCTCTTCCTGCTCTTCTTACTGCTTCTGGCTTTCTTGCTGCCGCTCATACAGGAACAAGACAGCTGCAGCTTAGTCAATAACTTTGCTCGCTCCTTCTACCTGATGCTGAGGTATCAAGGTCCACCTCCAACTTAGCTCAGCTTCCCAAAGACTGCTCTTTCACAGCTGATCTAGTCACTCGGTGCAATGCACAGGATCCCAAGTCGTACAACGTGGACCATTTTTTTTTGCATTTAGGATATTGGCAACAGTATCAGGGATTTCAGTCACAACTCAGGAACAGCCTGAAGCACAAAATCACCGCCAACACCAACATTCCTTCAGATTGCTGGAAAGTTTTTAAAATTGCCTTTTCAGAGCATTTCTTTAACTTCACTGTTCAGCCAACAGAGAGAATTTTAACTAATTAGAGTCTTCAAATTGTTCAAAAAAATTCAAATGTTTCATCTATTTTCAGGCTGTGATGTCTCAATGTCTGTCCGGAGGCCATGGAAATCAGTGGGTTTATACAATTAATTTGAAGTGCAGTTTTTCTGCACTAATAACTTCATACCAGAGGGTGAATATGTCACAGCCATTCTAAATTTACTTTAATCTGGAAATAAATGATATTATTTGAAGAGTTGGATCAGTGTTCCAATACAGGAATACTAATGTCACTTCTAATGCAGGAATAATTCATCAAACTTTACAGATTCTCTTTACTCATTATCTATAGGTTTTTGAATAGCAAAGGGATACTGGAGTGCTGGAATATTACATTAGGCACATGGCTTGCAGGAGGTCCTAGTATCTGCTATACACTGAGCGTGCCTCATACCTGTGTTGGTTGGGTGTCAAATAACTAACTCGTGACTATGGAAGGTAAGTAAGCAGGTCTGCTTGCAGCTGAACTGTCTGCCAATAGATTGTCAGAATCGAGTCAGTCCTCTGTGGAAGTCTCAGTAGTCCGGTTCCTGAGACACATGGATCTGCATTACTCCAGGGCACTACTGATGACAGATCAGCCAGCCTGTCTTGCCAATAGGACTTGGAAGGGCAGGTAGTCACTGAGAGCAGAGATTCTTCCCCCTTAGCTCCTATTAACTCTGCAAAGCCAAAGACTTAATGGGTCAGGAGTTTCTAGCTGGACTAGCAGTGGGTAAGCTGGCCAGACAGTGTTCTCAATGGCAAGCTATATAGATTTAGCTGGTTAGACTCCAGCAGTTACCCCAACACACACTCTGGACTCATAAGTCTGCCAACTTATGCTTAATACATTCTGGAATTATGTAAGCAGCCCCCCCCCCCCGAACCGAGTGTGAAATCCATTTGTATGTGAAACTGTCTGATTTAGATACTCGTGAACAGGATCATCCAATTGGCGGCTCATGGGCCACATCAGGCCCAGTGGGTGATTTCATCCATTCCGCCTTCCTGTGCCCACCCCCCCCCACACACACACAAAGAAAAGTCCTCTCATGGCAATGGTAGGAGCCAACGGTTGGGAGGACACAGCGAGTAAGGAGTAAGGGGGGGAGAGTGATTAAGGGAGAATGGGATAGATAGAGCATGCTCTGGAGATGGAGAGATTGAGATATGGGAAGAGAGAGTGAGAGAGACAGAGTGTGGGAGAGCGCATGCGAGAGAGTAATTCGGAGGAGTGGAGGGGAGTGATTGATCACCCTAGTCCTTGCTAGGCTCCACTGGCTCCCAATCACCGAACAGATCGATTACAAGATCCTCTCACTGGTCTTCAAATCCCTTCATGCCCTCGCACCTCCCTCCCTCCCTCTCTTTCCAGCAAACATCAGCTTGCTTCATGTCCTTTCCCACCCCATATGCCCCACCATCACCATGTTGCTCCCACTGTCTGGAGCTCCATCCTGGAGTTCCTCCAACTTGCTCCCTTCTATTTCAAGCCATGTCAAGACCTAACTCTTTGGCTGCGCTTTGTCATCTTTTCCCCCCACCACCCTCGGCTTAGCTCCCACCCCCAGCTCAGGTGTCAGCATTAGGGTCGAGCACTTTGAGATGTCCTTCCAACGTGATAAAGGAGCTGTGTAAATGTTATGTTTCTGGAGGGGAAACAAAAAATATTGATTATACTGCTCGCGGGCATTTCTCAAAGAGGGAACCCCGCCCCCGGCAGCACCTGCTGATCAACCAAAATTGTCTCCAGTGCTATTTATGTTGAATAAGTTTATAAACACTGGAGGACTCGATACGAAACCCTGCACAATCCCTCAGCAGACTATCTCCTCGCATCAATATTAAAAATAATACAGCAAAATGGAAAGGATTATATTAGTTGCAGGATCTTTTTCGACTCATGGCTGCCTCTGCTTCCTGTTGCTCAGCCAGTTTGCTCCCCACTGAGTGGCTGCAGTGTTCCTGTTCCTACATTGTTCAGGAAACACCGTGTGGAACCTTCTCAAAAGTGTTTTGAAAATCAAGGTAGATAATGGCTATTGGGAACTTATCCTTCATTGGCTTAATCATCTTGAAGAAACTCACTGTGTTTGTTGGGACGATATTTTGCTACAGAAAATTATTGTTGAGCAGCTGAGAGATGAAGTTCCTCAGTGGCTTCTCCTTATGTTTCTCTCAGAAGTTCAGAATGAGGTTCCTATTTAGGTGCAAATTGTTTTTTTTAACATCATGTTTACATCGTGAATTTGGTTTAATGTTTATTTATTGACCATCTCTGAATGGGTGAGGTTCATGGTCACCAATATAACATTGCTACAACCTAATGGCATGTAAGGGTTGTGCTACATTGGATATATAGTTTGAGGTTCTTAAAATGAAGGATAGTTGTGAACACAACTTATCAAGGTTCACTGCATTTACTCACACTTCTCTTTAACCTATTCCTGTGTAACACAAAGTGGCATTCTTGAGCTGAGCTATGAAGATGATGAGAGGTGAATTATTCATGAAAATAATGTAATTCGAATAATCAATGTATATGCAGTATTTTATATTTAAACATTTTTATTCTTAAAGTAAAACTCAGAGCTTCAGACATTATGTTCACATAAAACATTTATGTGTTAAAGCATTTTCTACAGAAATTAATTAAAAATATATAAGGACATATTTAATAACAAATGTCTAGTATTTATTTTCCTTTGACTTGAGAAGTGAGCAGTGTGCGCCTATCCTGAGAAAATTGGTACAGATGAGTTTTGCTTCTGACAGCCCAGTGCGATCTCTTTTGGCCACAGGGTGGGACCCACAAAAGCTTGTGAAAATGACACAATTAGGGTTGAGGGGCATGAGGGAGGCTCTACCACTCAGGGGATTGGGTTAGGGTTTGTGAATTAGGGTTAAGGAGACTTGGTCTACACCAAATAGGGTTTAGGGTTAGGGCAGGATGGGGTGGGGGGGGAGTGGGAGTAAGGGTTAGGGGTGGTTAGGCTTTAGGGTTAGGATTGTAAGAACTGAGCCAGCTCTCTGTGATGATCTCTAGTCTGGTGCCTGAGCCAGGCAGGTCCACAGTACCCCAGCACAGTATTTGGCTCATCGGCAGGACTTGGAAGTGTCACCCAGACATTGGGGGCAGGGAATCCTCCCACTCAGCTCCTGTTAACCCAACTGACCTCTCACCCCAACACTCTCTACTCTCCCCCCACCCACCGGACGCTTTTCCCCAACACGCCACGCATCCTCCCCCGCCCCCATCTCTCACTCACTTTTCCACGTCTCTCTCAAGTACAGTATAAATTTACTGTTTGCATAGAGCGTCACCGTCACCCTATGGCCATCATGTGGTAATAGGAAAGGTAAAGACTCCAGCAAACAGCCACTGAGCAAGCGAGCGATTTTATTTGGAGGATTTATTGGCCAGGTCACGGGGAGAGAAAAACTTTTTTTTATCAGCGAGGTGAGAGATCTTTAATGTGCACCTGAACAGGCAGATGAGCTCAGTTTCACATGGAGTCCTATAACTCAGTGGTTAGAGCACTCGCCTCACAAACGAGAGGACCCGGGTTTGATTCCCAGGCAGGGCGAAACCTTAGGCAAGTTTCCCTACTCCACACACACCTGTTTACCTGCAGAAATCCAGTTGTTAGTCGATTGGGTTTTCCCAGGTAATAATTGCTTAAAATAATAATAACAATAATAATAATTTGGTCACTCAATCCATGACTGTTTGTGGGACAATGCTATGCGCAATTGGCTGCTGCGTTTTGCCCATAAAATATACAGTCACTACACTTTACAGTATATTCTGTGAAGTTCTTGAAGACGTCTAGAAAATGTGATAAGGTGCTATATCAAATGCAAGGATTATTATCAAAGTCTCATCCAAAAGGCTTCTCTTACAACGCTCTCCCGATAGCATCGCCTGGAGCATCAGCTTAGACTGTGACTCCAAATCCCACCCTGGGTCTCAAACCCACAACCTTCAGACTCAGAGGCCAGATTGCCTTGGATAGTCACCAAAGGTGGGGGAGGTTCCTATGTTGGAGGATTGTTATAATTTAAAAATCTACCTTTCTCTCTCCAACCCTCTCACTATCCCCAACACCAGAGTGGTTTTAGCAACTGTTTATTTGGGGGGTTGTCTCATCTGTCCTTCAGATAAGACATTAAAACCAAGGTTCTGTCTGCCTGTTCAGGTGGACATTAAAGGTCCCATGGCGCTATTCGAAAAGAGAAGGGAGTTTCTCTCTGCTGGTGTCCTGGCCAACAACCTCGGTCTCACTTGCGAGGCGGGTTCTCTGACCACTGAGCTACAGGACTACAGGATGTCTGAAATCCAAACACAGAGGAACCAAATTCTATTTACTCTGGAGGTTGAGATAAGAAATTGTTAGTAACAGAGGTTAGAGTTAGGTCCTGCCAATTAGTGTTAGGGTGATTAGGGCGAGAAGTAGGTTTTAAGTTTGGGTTAGTGTTGATTTAAGGGCTTTTGGGTAGGTGGAGGTTAAGGTCAGGCCTGCTATTTGTGCAACTGGCCATACTGTTCAAAATAAATTAGGTGTGGGGATAGAAGGTAAAGAATGAGGATATGTGAATAGTGACAGATGTTTTGCAGCAAGGCTAAACATTGATGCTTTATTCGCTATGAAAACTAATGGTTTGGCTGGAATGAGCCACTCAAAACACAAAATACTGCAGATGCTGGAAATCTGAAAACAAAAACAGAAGTCACTGGGAACTCAGCATCTATGGACAAAGTAAAGGGATCTGCTTCAGCTCCACGACCTCTGCATTCCCACTTTTCCCAGTCCTCTGCATTCCCACTTTTTCTTGTATTTGAGGAAGCCTTTTCTTTTACTTTGATACCTCATTGGTCAATGGGGTCTTGGATGGTGAGCGTTTTGCTGGAGAGGGAGCGGATGTTTTGTAGGCTGATGCGGAGGGCACTGTTGGTGGGGGAATGTGGGGGGCGAGGAGTGGGGAGGACTGACAGGGAGGGGCGGATGCAGATGAGGGAGGAGAGGTTGGCTCCATGATCAGGGACAGGTGGGCCTTGCTGCGAGAATAGAGGATAGGGCAGTCAGAGTGGCTGCTGTTAACAGCCAGTGGCGTCTGCCATGTGGGCCCAACGGAGGATTCGCAGGCTGGAGCAGAGGGCGGCTGTGGGACAGTTGAGCAGTGATAGGAGATGGGGAAGGTGGTGGAAGAGGAGGAACAAGTGGGTGCAATGGAGCGTAGAGGACAGGGGTGGGAGTACTTTGGGGAAGCAGCTCAGGTTGGTGGCAACCAAAATGCACACACTGAGAGTTAGCGGCTGGTGAGGGACAGCACGGGGGGAGGGGGGACCGGGGGGGAGAGGGTGGTGGTGTGGGGGCCGGGGAGACGGGAAGGGGAACGGGGTGGTGGGCTGGGGGGGAGGGTGGTGGGCTGGGGGACGGGTGGAGGGTGGTGGGGGGCGATGGGGCTAGGGTGATGGGCCGGGGGAGGGTGGTGGGGGAATGAGGATGGGGGGGAATGTGGGGGGGGTGGTGGATAATGTTGTAGACC